GGTCTCAGGTTCACATTCAGACTCATGATTCTTTAGATATCTGGATTTTTCTGACACTGGAATGTTCTCAGGCTCCATGGTATACAGAAAGGAACTCTTTGCTTTGGTTTTTAAGAGTACCAATTGCATCCTCTTCTGCATGTATATATTCACACAGCCTGAGGTCCTTCTGACCTGGCAGCATTCCCATGACAGTATAGATTTTTTCGTCCCTGCCCTTGACTACACTGGAGAGCTGTCTCAGATGATGTGCTGGTTCAGGATTGCCAGGTACTCATATAAGAATAACCTTCAGTTTGCCTTCAAGGATGAAGTGTGCCTTCTGAATACTGAGTCAATTTTCCTGTTCAAACATTTGCCACTTATTTATTAACAAGTATTCACTATCTACAAGAGTCAGTGCTGTGGATTGTACAGGAGAAAATGCCAGCAAATTATCCCTTATTAAAGAAGCTCATAATCCAGAAGGGAAGACAAGATGAACAGTTCCATGTATGGTAGGGTAAAGGCAGGGGTGGTTTGTATTTTTTTTTTTTTTTTAATTTTTTCTCCAAATTTGTATTAGTTGCTCTTAATCACTATGACCAAAATGGACAGAAGCAACATACAACAATGGACAGAAATCTTACTTCAATTCACTGTTTTTTTGTGGATTACAGCCCATCATACTGGGAAAGGCTTGATAAAGGGAGCATGTGGTGATGGAACAGAAGGCAAGAGGGTGCAGGCTGGAACCAAGGACAGGATCTCTTTCCTTACTGACTCCATAGTGACCCCTCAGTCAGCTAGGCACTGCCTCCTAAGGTACTATAGCTTTCCAAATAGCACCATAAGCTGGGGACTGGGTGTCTGAAACATTTAAACCATAATATCTGAGGAGAGATAAAATAACTGAATTCTTGGAGGTCAGACCTCCAGTACCTTTTAGGAGAAGCAAAACATGAAGTGTAAAAGCAACATCAAAGGGAATGATGGGAAATAAGGAAAACTTAACCCTTTCCTCAGTTATCACCTCACTTTTTCTGTCTTCTTTCTTTCTTTACATTTTTAAAATTTTGAAAATAGATTCCTTTCTCATACAATATATCCTGATTATAGTTTTCTGTCCCTCTACTCCTCCCAGTTACTCCTCACCTTCAGTCACTTCTGGATCCACTCCATTTTTGTCTCTCATTAGAAAAGAATAGGCTTTTAAGAGATAACACCACACACGACAAAACAAAGCATAATAAGATGAAGCAAAAACTTTCATATCGAAGTTGGACACAACAACCAAATAGGAGGAAGAGAGTCTCAAGAGTAGACAAAAGAGTCAGAGACCAACTTATTCTCACAGCTAGGAGTCCCATAAAAGTGCTAATCTAATAGCTATCATATATATATGCAGAGAACTTGGTGTAGACCCATGTAAGCCCTGTGCTTTCTGATTCAGTCTCTGTGAGCTCATATGCACCTTGCTTGGTTAATTCAGAGAGTCATGATCTCCTGGTGTCCTCCATCCACTCTTTCTTCCTCCTCTTTTGCAGGATTCTCTGAGTTCTGAGGGGTGGGATTTGATGGAGACCTCCAATTTAGACTCTTTTTCTGCCTAATGTCTGGCTGTGGGTCTCTGCATCTGTTCCCATATGTTGCTGGAGAAAGCCTCTCTGATGATGACTGAATAAGGCACTGATCTATGAATATAGTAGAATATGATTAGGAATCATTCTATTGATTTTTTTGTTTTTGTTTTTGTTTTTGTTTTTAAGAACAGTCACATTTGGTTTTACTGTAGGTCTCTGGATTATCTAGTTTCTGCTTCTTGGTTACCCAAGTAGTGTTGTAGTGTTAGTTCCTTCTTGTGGAGTGGGCCTCAAGTCAAATCATATACTGGTTGGCTACTCCCACAAGTTCTGTGCCACCATTGCCCTAGTGTATTATGTAATCAGGACAAATTGCACGTCAGAGGTTTTGTGGCTGGGTTAGTGTCCATGTTTCTTTTTCTGTAGCCTGCAGAGTATCTTCCAGTACTAAAGAGACTAGAATGTAGGGGTGAGGGCTCTATCTAGGTACCAGTTAGACTTCTCCATGTCTAATGAGTTGTGTGGGTGATAGTGCTTTATCAGGGGGTGCCTGCTGGAGTTGGAGGATGGGATATAGCCACTAGTTGGGGGAACGAGGTTAGGAGAGATGGTCTGTGCCATCCACAGTCCTCTCTACAGCCATAGCTATCACTTTTCATCCAGAGGTGCTACAGTATCTGGCTCATCACAATCGCTTTGTTTTTTTGTCACATAGTTATTTTCTTGTTAGTTCTAGCAAAATTATATTTCTGAAACAATTTTTTTTTGAAGTAGTTTTTAGAGTTTGCTTTAGATCATCGGAATATAGGTGACTATAGCTACCTGTAGGCTTGGCATTTGTGGACTGAACCAATTGCAGATAAAGTATTCAGAAAAAAATTAAATCTATATGGAATATGTATGTATTTTTTTTTCTTGTCTGTGTCTGAACAATATACTGCACTGTTTATATAAGTAGCCTTTATCTTGTATGAAATGTTCTGAGTAGTGATTTGGGTATCTGTGGTAGGAGAGGGGTGTCCTGGATCCAGTGTCTGTAGGATACTGAAAGACTGTCTATCTTAGTGTAAAGACTCTTTTTTTTTTTTTTTTTCTTTGAGAATGTATTTGTCTTTTACAAACATCCTGGTTCTGAGAGGAAGATCAAGATAGTTTATATGATTTAGATATTAGAGTTAACTATGATTATATTTAGATTTTGTTTTTGTACGATCTAAGTCAGTGCATATTCTGGCTTTCCTGTAGTATTCCATTTTGCACATTAGATTAAAATTCTTTTGATTTTGAAGAGCCTTCTGAAAAATCAAGCAGATTTTTAAAAAAGACATGACACATACAATCTTAAAATATTTCTCACTGGTTAATTATCAAAATATGTGTAGCAACAAAGTATTTGGGGGGAAATAATCCGACGTACTACCGTATGTTCTTGTAAACACTGGTATGTTCTTGTACACACTAGGATAGTTCTTGTTAGCTAGTGTCTGGGAATAATGGTTGAAACAAAGCAAGGTGAGTTCTCTGCTCATGACCCCAGAAGAGCCAGTGCCCTCTGGTGGTCTGTCAAGCATAGTGGAAATTTCTGCTGGAAAGAAGCAGAGGTGGGTAGACATGAACAAAGATAGAGGAGTCTGTCCTGTTTATAGAGAGAGGACATAGAGCGTAGACAGTACATAAGGAGGTCAGCGGATAAACGCTGGAAGCAATGGGAAACCGGCCTATTGGAAAAACATCAAAAACATGAGTTTGGGAGGATCCAGGTGTGAAGACTAGAAGCAGGATTACCGGGGTTACTTGGAAGCAGATGGTGGTTTATTCAGTCCAGGAAGCTTTAGTGACTGTGTCATCATTGCTACTAAAAACCTGGTAATACTCTGTGCCCAGTGATGCCTGGGAATTCAGTGTTTCACCATTCCAGTGTATATATGGAAATAGGTGTGAAATACCAAGTAAACTGCAAAGGCTTATCACTGTGTAATTTTTAAAAATTAAGTTTGTACCCTGTAGTGTATGTGTTTGAATTGCTAATGTTGGAATGGTTCTCTAGGGGCATTTGATGGAGGGATGCAGGGAGAAAAACAGAGTTGGATGGGATAGGGGAGAAGGTTGCACAACTCCCCTGCCACCTGGGCAGCTGTGCAGAGTAACACACCTGGTGTAGCCTGAACTTGGTTGCCAGGACCACTTGTGGAGCAGCCCTCATAACAGATCAGTGCCCCTCAAATCTATTAATGTGTGCTTTTGAGGTACTGGAGTCATTATAATTTTCCTGGGACATTGTTCCTAGCTTTCAGGTTGTTTACCAATTTGTGTTGCTTGACTGTGGAAGACAGGCTACAGGCAACAGCTGTGACAAACCACATATATAGATTATTTTTATCCTCTCTCATCCTTAATTTTCAGTATGAGTCTTGAAATAACTCTCAAAATGCCAGATCCAGGTCTCCAGTGTTATAAAGGTGGTCAAGGAATATATGTAAAGCAACCCCTTTTTCTTTTAAAATTCTTTTCTTCTGTTATTTTCTTAACAAAACCGAGTGTGTAAGTGCAAACTCGGGTTTGAAGACTGGTCTTTGCAGGCACTATGCACCATTCAATGTGCTCTTACATCTTGGAGACCTTTATGTTAAACATATGATTGCATTCTGATAGAATGTTTTCATATTTGGAAGCCAAATTTTTACTTCTTATGTCCATTTATGGTATATTAGATATAGATATAAAGATAGTGATATTAAGTAAAATAGGAGTCTCAGAATGGTAGCAGAAGCAGCTAAACATCAAATTTAGCTTTGGCAAATGACCCAAGTAATGTCCATTGAATAAGAAAAATCCAAGACACGTATATTAGTTTTCTACTGTTGCCTAATAACTTAGAGTTTAACATACCATCAATATTTATCTAACCATTTTATGAGCCAAAGTCCAGGGGTTGACAAGGCTTGCCATTCCTTCTGGAGGCTCTGAGGGGAGGAACCTATTTCCTGAGTTTTCAAGTTTGGATGTCAGTGTTCCTGGGCTCACAACCCCTTCCATCTTTAAAGCTAGCAAGTGATCACCCTCCCAGACCAAGGCCAGAAAAAGCTGCTCAGCTTAAAAGACCTAGTGAGCAATGCAGGATGCCATCACTATCTTGAAGCAAGCCCTAAATTAATCTGCATTTCCCTGTTGCCATGTGGAGTCACAGATCTTCAGGTTTTGGAAATTAGGCTGTAGGAGTTCAGGCGTCTAGGGCATTGTTCTGCCTACCGGAATGTGGAAATAGCTAACACAAGCTTTCACTCAGAGAATGTATTTCCTGAATGTGCTCCTGATTTGGTATCAGGTCTTTAAGAAATCTTCACTTAAGGTACTTTTTTTTTTTTTAACCCATCAATTCTGTTTGGGTCTTAATCTCTAAGAATGTTAATGCTGGGTCTCTTTTGTTTCCATTGACAGTGATAACCTGCTAAGAAGAGCAGCCTGTCAAGAAGCTCAGGTAATGCCATTTCCTGTGATAAAATTAGATTGCCCCTTATCTCCATGGTGCAGGAGACACAGCTTCTCCAGGGACTTACTTACATGGGGTCTTGCATCAGTGCAGTTTGACTATTTCCTCCACTTCCAGATGGATCAGGCTGTTAGCCAACTCTGAGTAGAATGGGTGGAAGTTAGCCATCTGGTCAAGAACAGTTCTGACGCCCACCATGTTAAACTTGTTTACTTCTGGATCACTCCCAAGAACACATAATCGGACTGGCTGAAGAGCTAGGAATTGGCATGTGTTTGCAGTTAGCCTTGAAGATCTGGCTAAATCCTGAATCATTCCTGATGGAATAGCCCCCAGGGATGCTGGTTTAGAGCAGATGTTACCTCTGAAAGTCAAATCTTGTTAAAATTGTTGACTCCGACATTTAAAGCCCATCTTCCTAACATAGCTGATTCATAGCGTTGCCCTGCCATCCAGTTCCATGAGATCCTGCTTAAGCATCAGTTCATCTGGCTGTGGTGATGATAGTTGAATTGCAAATCCTTTCAGATTTAAGACCCTGGCTTTGCTATCTTTCCTATTTGTAATTTGTGCCCTGCAGATGGACTTCTATGACTCAGTATCTTTTTGTTACATGCCATTTAAGCTTATGATGTCAGAAATGGCTAAAGAGATGTATAAAAGTTAAAATGGCAAAGAAAACACATTTAGTAGAAGTGGGTGTCAAACATGTTTATTTCTGAAGTGTTTTCATAGATGATAATGACAATAGGTACTATTAATAAATCCTTCTTTGGTTCTAAATATGCTTTATGAATTTAATTTTATAATTGCACACATGTACCAGCTCGTAAATATCGACATGATGGTTCACACCCATAATTCCAGCTTCCAGGAAGCCGAGGCAGGAGCTTCAGGCCAGCCTGAGCTATTCTGTGAGGCCCTCTCTCAAAAATAAGCTTTTGGATTATTTTTAATTTGCACAATATTTATCCTCTCTTATAAGTCTCAGTATGATACTCTGGTACATGTATGCAATGCTTAATGATCAAATCAAGGTAGTTACCAGTAAACCTTAATGTTGAATTCCAGGTGCTGATACACCGCCTCTTATTTAAGGTGAATCCCCCGCATCTGTTCATCCTGAACTCCACCTCCTCTTACTTTCCCAGGAACAAGGTCTTGTTAGGTACTTCTGCCACATACTGACCTCCTTACTGTTCTAATCTTTCACTCCTCTGCACATGTAGCTCCTTTAATGTGACTAAAGGTGGATTGATTTTCTGCTTTTCTCTGCTTTTCCTGTGTTCTTCTTATAGTCTAAACTATTGAGTGATTAAAAATATCATATAAACTCAACACAACTTTTATAAACTTCTTAATCCATTATAGATGAGACTTGAATTTACAAGTATGGTTAGGAATTATAGGGACTAAGAAATGAGGACAAGAAGGGACAGTCTACTGCTATAATCTGGCATTTGTTTGACTGGTGGGTTGTCTCTTATTAGAGTTTCTATTAGTAGATTTCTGTTGCTGAGAAGAGACACCATGACCACAACTCTTATAAAGGAAGACATTTAATTGGGGCTGACTTACAGATTCAGAGGTTTAGCACATTGTCATCATGCCTGGAAACTTAGCAGCATGCAGGCAGACATGGTACTGGAGAGGTAGCTGAGAGTTTATCCAAATCGGCAGACAGCAGCAAGAGAATGCCACACTGGGCCTGTGTGCATCTGAAACCTTGAGCATCTGAAACCTCAAAGCCCACTCTCTAGTGACACATTTCCTCCAATAAAGCCACACCTACTCCAACAAAGCCACACCTCCAATAATGCCACTTTCTATTAGTCTGTGGGGACCATTTTTATTCAGAACACTATATTCCACTTCCTGGCCCCCATAGGCTTATAGCCATAACCTAATGCAAAAAAAGCAGTTAGTCCAATGTCAAAAGGTCCCATATTCTATCATAGTCTCAACCATGTTTAAAAATCCACAGTTCAAAGTCTCTATACTCCTGGCAGTCTCTTAACTATAACCTTCTGTAAAATCAAAATGAAAAAAAGAAAAAAAAGCAGATCACATACTTCTAACATAGAGTGGCACAGGATATACATTATCATTCCAAAAGGGAGGAAAGGGGAGCATAGTGAGGAAATACTGGGCTAAAGCAAGACTGAAAACCAGCTGGGCAAACTCCAAACTCTGCATCTCCATGTCTGGTATCAAATTATTCTTCAGATCTCCAAATCTTTTCAGCTTTGTTGACTACAACACACTTCTTTGTCTTGGGCTGGTTCCATTCACTCTTAATAGCTCTTCTTGGCAGGTATCTTATGGCTCTGGCATCTCCAACATCTTGGGGTCTTTCCAGGCAGTTCAGGTCAGGCTTCACCTTTATAGTTTTACACAATGGCCTCTCCGGGCCTCCATGAAGGGACATGTCTATGCCTGGCTAAAATGACTTTCCTTAGTTACAGAGGGAGATTTTGTAACTTCTTTCTTGTATCCTTGACTCTAAACTCAGGACCACGTGGCTGAAGTTGCAAAGTTCTGCTGCTTGCTGGGGTTAGAACATGTCCCCTTGTTCAAATAAATTTTTACCAGCTTTCTGTTTTTGATAGTTTCTTTCACTGCCTAACTGTGGCTGTCCTGGAACTCCCTCTGTAGACCAGGCTGGCCTTGAACTCTGAAATCTGCCTGCCACTGCCTCCTTAGTGCTGGGATTAAAGATGTGTGCACCTGGCCCTAAGCTTTTCTTTTAATTCCTTTTCATTAATTGGAAGCTTAGCTGGGTAGTGTCTTCCTCTAAGGCCACCACTACCTTTATTCTACTCAGCATCACACTTTTGTTTAATCCATTTATACTTCCTCATACTCCATTTTTCCTCCAACAGTACATTTTGTATTTTTATTTGCTCAGCTTGCTTCTTTTCATTAATGTCTGCATAAGATGAGCCACTAATAGCCATACAACACAGCTGATGCTAAGTTGTTTGGAAATGTCCTTTTCTTTTCTTCTGAAACCTTTTGAGCTGGGTTCTCACAGTTCAAACCACCCTTAGTACCACTGTCTTCCATGCTCCTGCCGGTATGGCCCATTAAGCCCCATGGAAAATGTCCAATCACTTTTCTAGTCCAAAGTGCCAAAGTGTCCCATATTCTTCCAGGCAAAACCATTGTCAGGCCTGTCACAGCAATACCCTACTCCTGGTACAAACTTCTGTTTTGGTTAAGGTTTCTAATGCTGTGAAGAGAAACCATGACTATAACAACTCTTATAAAGGGAGGCATTTAATTGGGACTGGCTTACAGGTCAGCGGTTTAGTCTATTTTCATAATCACATGCAGGTAAGACATGGTCGTAAGGAGGTGGCTAATAGTTCTACATCCAAATCAGCAAAAAGCAACAAGACAATGCCACACTGGGCCAGGCTTGAACATCTGAAACCTCAAAGCCTCAGTAACACACTTCCTCCAACAAGGCCACACCTACTCCAACAAAAACATACCTGCAATAATGGCACTCCCTATGAGTCTATGGGGGCCATCTTCATTCAGACAACCACAGCTAGGTTAGTTAATTCATTCTAGAATTGCATGGATTGGAACTGAACAAATTATGATATTTAGAGATTTAGCAGGAAAATGCCAGTATCTAAGAATACAATGAGAATAGGACAGGTAGTTTTTATAAAGAAAATGGACAGGTAGTTTTTATAAAGAAAAAATCTTTTTGAAGTATTTGGGAAACGTGCGTGTGTGTGTGTGTGTGTGTGTGTGTGTGTGTGTGCGCGCGCGCGCGGGCACGCACTTGTCTGTGCAGGTGTGTATGGAGGCCAGAGGTTAGCATTGGCATGCCATCCTCAAGAGCTTTTTCAACCTTATTTTTTGAGACAGTGTCTCTTACTAAACTTGGAGCTTGCTGTTTCAGCTAGACTGGCTGGCAAGGTAGCACCCAGGATCCACCCGTTTTCATCTCCCAACACTGGGATCATAGGCATACACTGACACACTTTTTACCTGGGTGCTGGGGATCTCAACTCAATTTCTAAGGCTTGCACAACTAGCACTTTTTATTTACCCACTGAACCATTTCCCCAGCTCAGAGGGTTGTTTATTCAGAAGCAAGATGTAGAAAGGACCTCTAATGGACAATCAGGGAGGTGGGCAGATTTAGAATGAGTTATTTAATGCAATATTTTTATTATATAACATTTTTTCCTCTAATCTTTACTTTATAGTTCTTTTCTAGAATTCTGCTGCCATAGCTTAGATTTGCTTTTTAACACCCAAGACCTGAAGTTTTTGCCCTTTTAGTGTTTTTCTATCATTATTCTTTTCATCATCTGTCTTCTTCAGTCTAGATGTCACAGTAGTAGCTCCCATTCTGCTGCCAGTTTGAATCTTCACATTTAATCTTTTACCTCTTGATTCCATTTCAGCCTTGGAGCCAATAGAGTAGAAAAGGTTTGAGTAATGGGTTTCTTCTGTGTATTAGATGTGAAAATTAGCTGGTAACATAGATTCCTCTGGAGTACATTTTAGTAATGAACTGAAGGAGGAAGGATTGTAGCATGAAAACTGAAGGCATATGGGTTAAATTCCTCTTCTCATAGCCTGTGGCTTTGTAGGTTGTATACTTGCAATAAAGTCAGCAATATTTTCAGAGAAAAGATCGTACCACGGGTCAGTGGAGTGAGTTTTTATCCTTACGTAAAAGTGGGCTTATTGTCATTGAATAACAGCACATTTTTGTCATTTTGCTTATGAGAGTTCTCTTATAGAGATCATGACTGAGCTTTTGTTCTTTGGCTGGAAGTCTTTGGGTTGAAAAAAATGTATGTGATCACTATTGAGAAAAGCATTTACTTGAAAGCTGTTTTTTTTTTCTTTCTTTTTTTCTTTTTAGGTGTTTGGCAACCAGCTCATTCCTCCCAATGCACAAGTGAAGAAAGCCACAGTCTTCCTCAATCCTGCAGCTTGCAAAGGGTATTTCAGTTTGTGACTTATAGTTTCTAAAGGCAAAAGACAAAGTCCCCACAGAGGCAGGTGGTTAGACTGTAGGACTAGAATGAGTGGGACCAATACTCTGCAGCCATGGTAGTCATGCTCAAAGTGGAAGCAACAGTTACTATGAAATAACCTTGCCATAAACTGCTGTTCAGTAAACACCAAGGATTTGTATCAGCTTGGGAGTGGTCCTCCTGGGAATGGTTGTTCTCCTGCTTTGCATAACTGTGTTCGGCTGTCACTATAGACAAAGTTGTACAGCGGTGACCTAAAGCACTCTAGACTCAGGAGGACAGTGTATTCTTTCCAGAGAAGGGAACCTGCACCTGGTCTCGGACGGTAATGTTCACTATTACCAAACGAGGATGTGGCCTATGGAGCATACCTACGAATAAGAATGACTGATTTTCAGTAACTGTTGTATGAAGGGATTGTGGGGAATCAAGTGTGAAGAATAGCTGGGCTTTAGCTAGAAATAGTGTATTTGTTGGTTAGTTGATTGTACCCATTGTGTCACTGAAATAGAGGGGTACTGTGAAGGCAAGGAGAGGGTGTGGAGGAACCCAAAACTACCATAAGTGTGGAAAAAAAAAAGCCATAAGCAGAAGAAAAATTTACAGTGTTAGGTGGTTGGAAATATAAGTTAAAAAACATCATTGCTTGTTTTAAAGAAAGTTTAAATTTACTTTTAAAAAATAGAAAGAAAGAATTGAAGAGGGGAAAAACGATACGTATTCTTGTTTCCAATGTCTAGATTAGTTGTGCTTCCTGAGATTTGAGTAATTTGTGAATATATATTAGGTAGGATAATATAAAATTGAAGTCACATGATATCCATAATGAGTAATTGGGGCCAGATTTTTAAGTGTTCAGGCTCTGTTTTCTGGAGCAAAAAGAAGCAGGGATCCCAAAGTCAGTTTCTGTGGGATCTTTTGGGGAAGCTTGAGCATGACTTCACAATGAAAGGTATATTAACCCCTTCTATAAATTGTGCCTACAGATTATGCAGATTAACCTTGCTTAATAGAAGTTTGCTGGACTTGGTTAAGGCTACTTCTCTGTAAACACACCAATTTTCATATCAGTAATAAACAATACTGTTATACCCTTAAACAACACAACCAGGACACCCAGTACCTCAGTCACTATGGCCTGGTGAGCAGTGGAGAGCTCAGTGTGTATCTGTGTATTTTTCTGCTTCTGCTTCTAGAATATTCTGAGTTACTTAGCCTCCTAAATCCTCAGTGTACTCAACTATGAAACTAAACAACAAAATAGACGCTAAACCAAAATACACACCTTGAGAATCACCATATAGAATTTGGATATCTTTTGTATTAAATGCAGTGGTGCTTATGAGTGTGTTACTAGTATCTAGCTGAGTTCAGAATATTCTCTACTTTGTACTCCTATTTTTCCCAAGAATTCTTACAAGGACCCTTTTACCCTTCTTTAAAAGTAGCTATTTTGTGTGCTTATCATTTAGAAATCTTTAATTTCTGGTGAAAAAGTTTTGGCAGTTTCCTTACATTATAATCAACTATTGTAAGTTCTTGCTTCTAAGGTATACTTGGTTGTAGGGTTTTTGTTGTTTTGGGTTTTTTTTTTTTTTTGTTGTTGTTGTTTTGTTTTTTTTTCCCTAGCCCACATTGTTTTTATATACACATCTTAATTTTTTAGGAATTAAGGTGGTTCTTACATTTTACATATAACTGCTTGTACTGAAAGGTTTTTTTTCCTGTTCCATGTGAGTGTGTGTATGGGGAGGCATATGTCTGAGCACATGTGTGCACATGCATATAAAGGTCTGAGCTTGATCTTCAATTGCTCTTCCAGTTTATTCATTGAGGTGAGGTCTGTGAGTCAGACTCAGAGCTTGTCAAAATGGCTGCTGTCCCTAACCAGTTTCCTGTGGAGATCCCCTGTCCCTGTCTCAGAGGCTCAGCTGGCCGTCACACCCTCGGGCACTTATGTGGGTTTGGGGGATCTGAACTCCAAGTCCTGAGCTTGTTCAGCTAGCCTTAACCATCACTGAGACATCATAGCCCATTTAGCTTTTTAAAAGTAAAGTGGATTCTTGTTTGCAGTACTTGTTTGCAGTACTTTTCTAAAGAAAGGTTAAAGTGCCACCATAGATGACCTCCTATAACCAAGTGGATCCCTGCATGCATCTAGGACACGGAGACTCTGAAACTCCCCAGCACCTTTGGTTTTAAAGCTTTTACTATTTAATGGCCTCATTTTTTTCATCGTGGCCATGCACTAACACAAAATGTATAATTTATTTTACAGCTATCTCATTATGTAGGACTGGTTTAAAACTTCAATAGAACCTTAAGAAATAAGATAGCTATGTGTTTAGTGTTAATAAATAATACATTAAAGAAGTAATTATCTTGTGTAGTTCCTGAGTCTAGAAATTGCCATAAGTACATAAAGTTTTTATTCAGACCTGGTGCTATTGCACCCTTAATTATGTAATAAATAATGTATTTCTTACTGGCAGCAATTGTTTGTCAATCTGAAGAAAAGTCTTTTTGCTTTATTTTAGAGATTTCCTGAACCTGTGGCATCATATAGTGAATGAACAACAAATGTTCAGATTATTGTCTTAAACTCACAGGAGGTACACATGTGTTATGGCAGATGACATGGCAGCTTCAGACCTCGTCAGAGTTTTGCTTTTAGGAAACAGATCTGACCACTCCCAGCAGTTCTGTTCTGATCATTCCAGCAGTGAGAGCATCCCTTGCAGTGTCCCTAGATTCACCCTTTATCTCTGGGTTAGAGTGCAGAAATGGTGAGGGGGAAAGAGGGAATTTGTTTCCATGTAGCTTTTCATATTGATTCTAGTAATTAGTCAAGCACCAGAGAAGGTGGCAAATATTTAACTTGCTTGTATTCTCAATTAGGGCTGATGGTTCTTGTGAAATTTTGTGCAATCTTTTCAGTTTCTCTCTTAGTTCACAACAAGGAATGTTTGTTTTGTTGCCATTTAGTGGCTCTAGCTTTTCAGTGAAGATGGTGAATTTTTTCTGTGCTCAACTCTTAAGTAGTCCTCATTAGTTGCCTTTGTACTTCTCGTATAAATATCCTTAAGAAAGATGAAGCATGGATCATTTGTTTTTAAGGAACCTGTTTTAGACAGATAGCTAAGTGAATCTGTGTATAGAAGTTAGATGTTTTAATGCTGTTTTCATTTTGTGTGTATGGGTGTACGTGAGATAGGTGGGATAGTTGTAAATACCAGGGTAAAGGACAGGCTGACTAGTTGGTATATTTTGACATTTATTTGATTTCAACTCTGCCATTTATGTGGAGAGATGTTTTGCTATTTCTGCCTTTGATCCCTAGAGTGTTCTTGAATCTTGACCTGAATTGAACAGGAGTGCACTTATGGAATGATGTTTATGAGAAATCCACAAACCCATCCAAAGGTTGCTTAATGATTTCTCTGATTGTAGAGCATCACAGTCATGTTGTTTTGTCTTTCCTCAGTATTTACCTGTCTACATTTGGAGATTTATTCACTCATTTATTTGTACTCTAATTCATGAGGTACTTAGTAAATACCTTTGAAATAGCCTAGAAGTTGGAGGAATCAAGAATTAATAAGAACTGGTATCTCTGTAAGCGTCTTATCTAGTTCTAAAGATAGTTTTGAAAGCTATCCTCACCATATGTTGAAAAGATTGCTGATTGACAGGTAAATAAAGTGCTAAAGGAACAGCAACAGGCTTCTGGGCTTGGGAGATGTCAACCAGCTTCTCATTAATTATCCTCGTTAGTCATCTATGCTTATAAATACCTTTGACTTTCCCTTTCCTAGCAAAAATTCAGCTGTCATGAAAAAGACTTTTGACCTATCTTTACAGATTTAAAGATTTGGAATGACCTGTAGCGTTTAAGCATTAAAAAATGATGTCTCTTCTTCTAGAAGATCGTGCTGATTAGTAAAGGATTAAATACATTTGTTTTGTTCCCCTGGGCCATGTGAATAATGTTACAGTTAGTACCTCTACTCCTGTTAGTAGAATAGAAGTAAGTTCCAGTAAAACAGACACATATGCTGTGAAAGTGAGAGCTCTTCAGACAATCCCTGCTTTCTGTCTTGCTCTGTCTGCTCCACTGCTGTATATGGCATTCGGAATTCTCAGTGGATCAAGCTTTGTTATTTTGAGTGGCGCTCTATCTCCTGTTCATTGTTTGTCTATAGAATGTAGCATCCCAGATGTATACAAACTGATTATATGAGACAAGGAACAAACTATTTTTCTCTCTATGGTAACTCACTGTTGAACTTCCTATACTTGAACAAATAAGAAAGTCTGTATTCTCTAGGGTACATGGTTAAAGTTTTTATTCTCAGCCTGAGAATGTGTCTTAAAATATTGCTTTTTTTTTTTTTTTTTCCTTTGTCTACAGCAAAGCCAGAAGTCTCTTTGAAAAAAATGCTGCACCAATTTTACACCTATCTGGTATGGATGTGACTGTCATCAAGGTGAGACTGACTCTAGAGTCTTTATTCACACAAGACTACCACTTCTGATGTATTCTTTCCTCTTATCCTCTAAGAGGAAGGTAAGCTTTTCATTTCAGCACAGGCCCAGATGGGTGTGTGGAGCACAGGCTCACATGGGTGCAGGTCCTGTATTTTGTAATTTTTCCGATTTGTCTTTGGATCTAGATTGAATATGTTCTGTATGTGTGTGTGTGTATGTGTGTGTGTTCTGTGTGTGCCTAAAAGTAATTTGTATCAATTACTGAATATCATGTTATGTTTATGACCTATAAACCATTTGTTGGCCTATTTGGTGACCAGTTCCTATTTCAAAGCCATCTAGGGTCCTCCCAAAGCTACTTTATAGCACATACTTTATGTTTGAGGGTCTTCCTGTGAGTAACAAAATAACTTCCATGGATTTTTAATAGTTCTATGCAGGGATAGGGCACAAAGAGCAGATATTTCAAATTGTTCGGGTGTTTTAGCCCATCTGATATTTAAGTATTTGGTCTCTGCTTGATAGTGTGTCTAGTGTATTTTGAACCGGAGATAGTAGTATTTTTATTTCGCTTGATTTGTGCCCTTTAAGGTTTTAGCATTTGTCTTCAGGGTGTGCATAATGGCTAAACTGTACATTTGAGTGCATACATGTATCTGAGATCAAATGTTCTCAGTAGAAATGGGAAGGTTAGAGTGCTCCACTGTGAGGTCTTCCAAACACACCTACATATTTTTTTTTGTGCCCAAAAGTATTGTTTTATGGAAAACAATAATAATCTCCATTGTGGTAGCACAATACCAGTTGCAAACACTTACTTTTGTAGCTGTTTTAAATTCTGCTGTGTAGCAATAGTACAGGTAGCCATGATTATCCTTCCCTTGATACATGGAAATTCATTGATAAGGAAATTAAGATCCAGTGAGTTTAAGGCCACTCAGCTAAAAAGTAGCAGGGCTGAGATTTACTGTAGGTCTCTTGGGCTCTGGAATCTGTGCTCTTTTCATTACATCTATTTCCCTATTTGCATATGCACTTGCCTTCCTGCCTTCAGATGAAAAGCAGTGTGTAAACAATGTAATAGAAGCCACACTGGACTGGAAAAGAGTCCTTTGGCTGCCTAGCTGTAGAATTAAGACAAATTATTGGGCTTGAATTTTATTTTTAGAGTAAGGTGCTGAATAGATAGTTTCTGAAGCCATTTCTGGCTTAGAAAGTATAAAACTATGAAAATCCATACCAATTGCTTTCATAGAATTTTTATGTCTATCAACGATGTAAAATTAAGAGTCAATATAAAACTAAAGAGCAGATCCTACCTTTTCATCCTTTGAACTTGTGGTCCTGCAATAACAAATTTACCAAAACCTTCTTTCATCTTTCAGACAGATTATGAAGGACAAGCCAAGAAGCTCCTGGAGTTGATGGAAAGCACAGATGTGATCATCGTTGCTGGAGGAGATGGGACACTGCAGGAGGTGGGCCCTCCTCCCCATTTAGGACTATTTTTAAGGAGAGAAGAATGGAAATTAGTTTCTGAGACAGTAGCAATTGTTGTAATTCATTACTTTAGGGCTGTTTCTCACACTTGCACAGCTGTAAGCTTTTCTCCTCTACCTTTCTCTCCTTGGTTTTGGTAAACCTTCCCACCTCACAGAGCAGTTTATGTGTAATCAAATTTGTTTAAGAAAATTAAATAAAACAGACAAGGCTCTATAATTCAAGCACTTAAGATGAAGTGGGAAGGGGGCTGGAGAGATGGCTCAGAGGTTAAGAACACTGGCTTAAAGGTCCTGAGTTCAATTCCCAGCAACCACATGGTGGCTCATAACCATCTATAGTGAGATGTGGTGCCCTTTTCCAATGTGCAAGCACACATGCAGGCAGAATGGTGTATAAATAATAAATAAATCTTAAAAAAAAAGATGAAATAGGAAGATCTGGAGTTCCAGTTACTCTTAGGCTACAATAGCAAGATTAGTACTCAAATATTGAATAAAGCAGAAGGCAGAATGGATATGGATGGGCTAAGCTTGTTATATTGTGCATCCTGTTAATGGTAGCTCTGTGATGGCATCATGGTTTTATAACAAGGACAAGTTTCTCATCAAATGAAAGTTTCTCTCATGAAAATATCTTTATGCCCACTTATTGTTTCTGTTGTATAGAAAGTTAACTCTTGATACTGCATTTGTAGGAAGACATGCTACTTGTTCAGATGTATGCATCTATGTCTTTTCTGTTGTAGTTCCTAAGGTTGGTTGGTTGCTAGTTAGTGCTAGAGAACAAACCTCATGGATGCTGGGCAAGTGTTATACTATGGAGCTACATCCCTAGTCTCGTCTTTGTTCTAATATTAATATCAGTTTTCCTTAGTGAGATGCCACACCTATTAGAATGGCCAAGATCCAGAACACTGGCAGTATCAAATCTGATGAGTGTGGAACAATAGGAAATACCATTCATTGGTGATGGGAATGAAGAGTGATCTAGTCACTTTATACAGTAAGCAAAACGAAAAATGAGTGGTTTCACTGAAAACTGAACACACTCTTACCATATGGTCCAGCAGCTGTACTTATTAGAATCTATCTAGAGGAGTTACAACTGATGTGCATACAAAAAATGTACACAAGGCCATTGATTGGCAAAACTTGGAAGAAATGAAGGTGCCCTTTAACAGGTGATAGTAGAGTGGTATATGCTGCAAGTAATGGATTATTTAGCATGAAAAAAGAAAGAGCTATCTAGTTATGATAAGACTTGGATACTGCTCAGTGAAAGAAACCATGAAAAGAATACAGTCTACAGTTCAACTGTTTGACTTGTGGACCAAGCAACAGTAGAGAGTACAAATATGAGAGGCTGGAGAAGGATTAGCAGTCAGCACACAGAACTTTTAGGGCAATGAAGACTTTGGTGATGATGGCCAGGTGTCAGTATATGTTTTTCAAAGCCTATGACATGTACAATACAGAGTGAACACCAAGCTAAACAATAAAGTTTAGATAGTAATGTAGGTTTATTGATTTAGCCAGATGCCATAGTTCATACACACACATATTACTATTGGCTTTGACCTCTGTTTGGTGGCTTCATCAGTGTGAGGGACCAGAAATGAACAGCAGAAACACTGTCCTATGTTTGACATGGCATTTGTATGAGCCTTAGTAAGCTTCCTTTTTAAAAAGGCTCTGCTAATGATCTTGTAATTGTTTTTATAGCGTGTTAATGAAATGTGAAGGGTTCTGATTGTATGCCTACAAAGAATGAAGCAGACCACTGACAGCCCATTTAATACTGAAACCCAGTGAGGCGGGACAAGATAAAGGGAGAGGATATGTCAACCTTCATTTTTACAAAATGTTTTTAAGGAAAGACAGTGAATTGTGTATTTGGCGTATTTGCAATCATTAAAAGACAAAGCAAAACAAACAAACAAACCAAAAACCTTGGCTAGAGAAATGATTGGTTAGGTATAACAACTCATACCCAAGGAGGCTGAAGTAGGAGTACAGTGAGTCCCAGGACAGCCTAAGCTACCTAATGGTACCCTGTCTCAAAAGTGAATAAATAAATAATGACTAAAATAAAATAAATGATTGGGGTTACCTGTTTAGTTCCTTTGTCTTCATAGCTCTCTGGAAGAAGCACTTCAGTACAAATTTCTGAGCATAGTAAGCCATCCTTGCCTCTATGTACCACAAAAGGCTAATGCAGGCTTTTCTGTATAATTGAAAAGAATTCACATTTCTGTAGCACCTACTATACATAAACATTAGTAAACTTATGTTTTCTAGACCTTGAAACATAATTTTACTAATATAATACGGATTTTTATAATTTATTTTAGTCTTTATTCTAGGTTAAGAATAAAATCCAATTTATCACTGATCATATTTGATAATATGATATGTTATTAACATCTAGCACATCATTTAGTATAGTTTCTAGAAGAAAACAAGTTTATGGTTCATGAAACTTGAGCCTAATTTTGATAAGGAAAATGCATGTTTATAATATTTTTTTACATTCATAGGTTATTACTGGAGTACTTCGAAGAACAGATGAGGTGAGCTTCTAAAAAATACTTTAAGCTTTTACTTGTTATCATTCTTTTGCCTTTGGCTCCTCATGATGCATAATACATATATATATTTATGTATATTATGTATATGTGTGTAGATAAATATATACATATATATATATACACTGTAATGAGGATTGAACCCACGGCTTTGGGCATGTTAGGTAAGCACTGTGTCACTGAGATTCACCTCCAGCCTTTTGTTCATTTAGTTTTTGTTTTTAGACAGGGTCCTGATAAGTTGCCCAGGCTAGCCTTGAACTTGTTATTCTCCTGATTTAGTCTCTGGCATCTCTGGAAATCCAGGCATAGACCACGATGCTCACCTCCTGTGATAATTTCAATCCAGGACAATTGTGATAGGATTGGAGTTTTGAACAAATGGTATAATACTTCTTCCTCTGTCATAGGTCACTCTCGTGAACCCATGGTGGACTTCTTCTGTTGGTAATCCAGGGTACCCAGTACCATTTAACAGCAGCTAGTGTGATATGTAAAAATTGCCTATAGATTTTTTTTCTTCAAGGAATTTGTTAATAAATTAATAGTGATATGTTTATATAATAGGAGCCAGATAACACTTAAATGAACGAACTAGGCTTATTTAGTTAAGAACAAGCATAAGGACCTGAGTTTCATTCCCAGTGCCCATGTAAAATCAGCTGGGTATAGTTGGCGGTGCTCCTGGTAGTCCCGGTGCTGGTTCACCAGGAGAGCCAACTTCACAAGTTTTAAACCATGTGTAACATGTGTGAGACCTTGTCTTAAAAAATAAATAAATGAAGGGGAACAAAAGTGTGTGTGGGACAAGTCAGGAAGTTGCCCTCTGTCCTCTTTGTGCACCCTCAACACACACACAAATGCACAGATAAGTGTGCACATACACAGATAAATGAGTATCAGTCACAAGAATGAATTACATCTATAAATATCTACATCTTTAGATCTTAGAAATGTTAAATGCAAAGTAAGTTTTTAAAGAAAGAGATATATTTTTACATGGTTTTAGAATTCAGAAACAGTACTGTCAGTGTGTGTTATTAAATATGTAAGAATGTAGTGAGAAAAAGATGATGTAATTGGAAAAGAGTCATGGTGACCTAGCATTATGGTTTCCTCTAGGAGTCAGGAGAACAGAATCTCAAAGCTCTTCATCTGTCTCTGCCTATTTGTTTGTTTATTTTAATTTTGAGGTCCAATTTATTTCTTAAGACATCAGAACCAAAAGGGCAAATATACTTTAATCTAGGTTATGGACATACAGGATTTTGTAAAATCTCATTCATTTTTCCTGCTATAGTTTAAAATATTTAAGTAAAAACAATAAGACATAATGTTCCAAATAGTCTTTAAGAATCTGCAGGTAAATGTTGTATATGTGATATTTAGTTAAATCACCTGTTATGTCATTAACTGGCAGCCATTTGACTTATTCTTTTTTGCCTTGTATGTATTTGAAGTAGGTAGCTCATGAAATACTGCCACCTGTCACTGTAGATTTAATAGGCATTTTTAGTTGAATTTTAGCTCCATAGTTTTTGGCCAGTGTGATAGCTTAGTACAGTCTCTCACACTGGTTCAGTTTTAAGACTGTTGTTATCTTAACCCGGTTTCATATAAATAATTATAGTTACTGAGTACTCAAATATTTCTTCTAAATTCTGAGCATTATGTTTTCATTGACTGCTTTGTTTTAGAAGCTGCTATTCCCCTTCTACAACACACTCTGGAGTATTTGCTTACAGGCTTAGGGATGGGGAATGGAGATGAGAGGGAAGACATAGGCCAGTTACTTTGTCATAGAGGACACACATATGCCGCCTTTAAATCCAATCTTCTGACTATATCAATACAACTTTCTCTTCTTTTTGTTCTACCAGGCTACCTTCAGTAAGATTCCAATTGGATTTATCCCGCTGGGACAGACCAGTAGTTTGAGTCACACCCTCTTTGCTGAAAGTGGAAACAAAGTCCAGTAGGTTGCCAGTATGGAATGCTAACATCTGTGGGTGATAGAGCCTGGGACTGAAAATTAACATGCATGATAAAGTCAACTTTTCAGAATTTGGTAGCTTGAGACTTCAAGTTATTGAGAGGGAGCCTCCAGGCTTTCAGAGAATCGGGGTGCTCACAGTTGAGTTGTGGTACCTTCCTCATCTAGTAAGTCCTGACATCAGGGTGATGATGGGTACTTTCTGCCACTGCAGCTGATGTAGAGATGCCACCTCTCATCTGTACTGTTTCCTGAAGGAGAGGGCAAATTTGCACTAATCATTTCCTTGAGTACACTTGGTGTCAAATCACAAGTCACTTGTGGAGACTGAACTGGTAGTCACAGCTTCACTGTCTTGGAGATGTAATCACAACTAAATACAGTAAAACAACTAGATACAGTCACATCTTTTTGTGACTGCCTGAAATGCTGGGCATATGGATATAATAGACAGAAGGGGGATAAAGTCCAAGATCTAAATTAAATTGCTGTGAGTCTGACAGTGTCTTCAGGAGTCAGGCAAATTGTTTTTCTACTTCTTTTTTTCTTGACAGCTTTATGGAACAAAGCCCAAGTTTTTTTAAAAAGGTAGTGCTCTTCAACTTGAGACCTGGCTTTCACAGCAATTAATAACAAATGGTTGTCAAAGACCTAAATAAATGGACGATGTTGGAGAAATTGTTACATTGTATATAATGTAAAGTTTGTGACAGTTGGAAGTCATAAAGTAAATATTTGCTGAATTAATTAAAAATTTCTCTGATATTTTTCTTGTTATAACCTCCTAAGTCAGTAATAAAGGTACTCAAGTAATTTTTTTTTTTTTTTAATTTCAGTTAATTTTTTTTTTCTACTTCAGAGTGTTTTCTTAGACTGGTTCTTATAGACTGACTTTCCCTGTTGTAATTTTGAGTGCCAACAATTGTATCTCTTAACAGTTCTATGCTGTTCATAAAAGCCTGGGTGCATATAAGAAAGCCCAGGCATGCATTTATCAGACCCTCATTCTAGTTTCTCTCAGGTGTCACAGCTTTACAGGGCCCTTCAGCTATTTTCTAACCATCCTGAGGCCTAGTAAGTAGAAGAAGCCCTTTAACGGGCCATACTTTTTGGTCACAGGTTAGAATTTTTGTGGGGCAATAGATAATGATAGATGAATGACTCAAGCATTTTTGCTGACCTGATATTAATCCTATCCAGTTTAGGACTTGATTTCGTTAGGGAGCTTATATTTCCCCTGTATCAGTAGAGATTATTGAACTGCATTAGCCTCATTTCCAAATGCCATGTCAGTGATCAGAGAGGTAGATTATTTTCCTTGCCAAAACCTTTGCCTATCTAAAAGTCAGTTTACACTCACATGTGGCCACCCCCAAGATCTGAGATAGTGCTCTGCTTCTTAGGGGCTATTTTTCCATGTTCTTAAACTGTTGTTATTGCTGCTTCTATTTGTAATTTAAAGATTTATAAAGCGTAATGTTTATGCATGCTCCAGGGCTGTTGGGTAATCAGTAACTACCATGGGCTCAGAATTTTGCAGACCTTTTTTTAACATGGCTGCTGCCTGAGGCTATTTAAAAGAACAAAGATTTGCCTTTTGCTTTGCTGTCAGGATTTCTTGTAGCTAAATTATTAAAAAAGAAAAAGTCTTTTTTTCTTGAAATGTGTAATGTTGCAGGTAAATAATCCTAAATGCCAGGCTACAAAGCTTCTTTATTAGAACTTTGAATTATTGTTAGAGAATGAGAAATTTGGGGTTACATTTAGTTGTTCTTCTGCTAAGCAATTTAGAGAAGCAATTTAATGCAAAGTCTTTTTGAATTGTAGTAGTTAGGGTTGTTTTTTTAGGTCAGTCCTTCAAAGCCACTTTCCAAATCTCTTCAAATCTCTAAATAGCGCCAGGTGCTATTGAGATTAAATCAGTACAGACATCATCTGTGGCACTTCCTTCAAACTGTACACACTCAGAGGAAGTCAGCCTACCCTTTTGCCCATACTCCTTGTTTCCTCCAAGTGGAGTTGCAGTTTTACAAAATTTTCTGCCCATTGCCCAAAAGTATCTATATTGAAAGGAAAAAAAAATGGTTCATAGATAAATATGGGAGTTTTGCCTATATGTGGGATTCCTGATGGTTAAGGAAGCTAGAAGAGGGCATTGGATCCCCTAGAACTGGAGATACAGGTGGTATGGGAGTAGAACCAGGGTCCTCTGGAAGAGCAGGAAGTACTCTTCACCTGTGAGCCATCTCTCCAGCCCACACTCTCTTAAATTAAATGGAAAGAAAAAAGCAGTCCAGCTAGCATAAGCACTGGTAAGTGTATTCAGCAACTGAAACTCATCTATTAATGTCATGAATGCCAAGTAATACAGCCACTATAGGAACTAATGTGGGTATTTCTTATCAGATTAAACATAAACTCATCATACGTTTAGGTATTTACCTAAGAGAAGTGCAGACATACAGATCAATTCAACAACCTGCATCTTTTTTTATAGAATCTGCTGCTCATTGCCAAAAAGCAGGAACAGTGCCAGTATCAACCAGCTCATGAATGGCTATACAAATTATGGCACATCTATACAACAGAGTGCTACTTAACCACAAAACAAAACCATATACCCATGTTGTTGCTACAGTCAGTAGCATGAATAATCTCAAACTGATGCTTTTCATTCTATTATATGACAGTTCTACAAAAGATTAAATTGGACATGGTAATTGCCGGGAACGGATGATGGTGGTAGGAGTGGGTTAGACTGATGCTGAGGGACTTGAGAGGATGTTAGAAATATTAAGTGTTTTGATGATGGTGTTGGTTTTATGAAAACAGTTGTCAACTATATAGAAAGGCAGCCTACAAGGACAGATTGTACTGCATGTGGATTCTAACTCAGTCAGTGTGATTTTAAAAAAGAAGTTGGTCCTTCAGTTTCCAGGTTTGCATTTGAGGAGCTCTGCTGAAGGAACAAACAAAAAGCTGACAGGAGTGTTTGCCCAGGATGCAAAAGGCTCTGGGCCCACTCCCTAGCACCACAGTAGAAAAACAAATCAAAGCAAACCACAAGCCCTTCTTGGATCTGAACAGGAGGGGAGGTCACCAATCAGCTGCCCCATGATTGAAGAGACAGAGTCACAGCTTACCAAGGAAGAGACTCATGAACAGAAGCAGTTGTGGGAACCAGTGCTGGTATAGAAAACCAGAGGCTCTGTGTTGTTAGCTCTGAGAGTTCCAGGCTCCTTGGCACCCAACCTTACAAGTTTCCTATAATATTGTGACATTTACCTCAAGGAGTTTTGCTGAAGATTCCATACTAAGTACAAGAAAAGGAGGAAAGGCTGAATTTTGAAATACTATGAAGCAGTCTTTTTCCCTTGTAAGGTCTGCATCAGGAGAAACTAGTTATGCTGAGCCGAAGCTTCTGGAGTTGTATTGGAGTTGAGCAGGGGTCGTTGGACTCTAGCTGGCCCTGGCCTTCCTCACGAGAGAAGGGAAATATCCAACTCCAACTACTCACCAGTCCTGTCCTACCTTACGGGGTAGAAAAGACTTGAAGATTAAAATGGAAAGATAACTGGACAATTTTCAAATCTGTGCAGGCTATGCAACATACATCAAGGAAGAAGTCTCAAGAAGTTTTTAAATATTTTGAACTAAATAAAGACAACTCCCAAAAATATGTGGGAGGCAGTGATAGTGGTGGTTAGAGGAAATTTAAAGCACAGAAGACAGAGCAAGATTAAGTGTGAGTACACACTGTACAAGCATGCACATGGGAAGGTGGGGCAGGAGGACTGTGTGAGGCCAGCCTGGTTATATAGTCAGACCCTGCCTCTGACATCAGGGGGAGAAAAGCAAATTAAGTCCAAAGTTAACAGAAGGAAAGAGGTAAGAATTGAATTCCAGAGTAAACAAAGGAAAATAATAAGAATTAAAGCAAAACTCAGTAAAATTGAAAATAGAAGTCAGTAGAAAAGCTGGTTCTTGGAAATAATAAATAGGTCAGCAAGTAGCTAGCCAAGCTAAATAAAAACTAGAAAGGACACAAATGACTAATTTTAGTGATGAATTAGAGGACATCATTGTAGAGCCTATGAACATGAAAGTTTATGAAGGAAAAGTATGGCAACTCTAGGCCCATAAGCTTGATAACCTTGGAACAGACTAAATTCTGCAAAAAACAATTTGGCGCAGCTCATGCAAAAAGAAATAATTGGCAAGTGGATTAATAAACTAGTACATGCAAATAGTGGAATCTCATTCAGTTGAAAGGAATTAGCTATGAAGCCATAGAAAGACAGGAACTTGAATATATGTTACCAAGTAAAGGAAAAATGTCTGAAAAAGGCTACACTATATGGCTCCTACTATTAGAGATCTGGAAGAGGTAAAAATATGACAGCAAAAAGGGAAGTGGTTATTAGAGCTTGGAGAAGATACAAAGATTTGTGTGGCCGTACAATTACTTTGTGTATATACTAATGAAGTGGTAGGTGTCATTAATGTTTGTCTAAACCCAGTTAGATTGCAGCTATGATCAAAACTGGATTATAAATGGCGATAGTAAGTCAACTAAGTTTTCCAGTTGTGACAAACCAATCTTGGGGTATGGAGGGATATGATAATGGAGCAGCTGTTTTTGGAGGAGGGAAAAGAATTATATAGGGAAATGTCTATACTGGCCTTCAAATGTTTCTGTGAACCTGACCTAAGATTGCTCTAAAAAAAAATGAGTTTTGTATAAAATCACTAGTTTTGATCCCTAGCATGCAATAGTCCTTTCAAACGTCAATAAATTCACTTGATTAAGCAAACATTAGAGATGTGCTTTAGTTTCTCCTGAGTTTTGATCATATCAGCATATACTTCTGTGGCTGTTATCTCTCACCATTAATTCTAACTATATGGTGATCCTATACCCTTTCATTAAATTCATATGACAACGTGTCAGTATTTACAGTGTATTGAAACGGCAGATTGGTTTTATAGTGATAATCAGAAAATACACAAAAGTGAAAAACTGAATGCATTTGGATGCTATGACGAACCAGATTATTTAGAAAACTGGTTTTTAGAGGTTTTTTGTTTGTTTGTTTGTTTGTTTGTTTTAAGTAGGGGACTAATGTGGTATATCCCTTTAGTCATAACAGTCAGAAGGCAGAGGTGTTTGGATCTCTGTGAATTCATGACTAGCTTGGTCTATATAGCCAGTTTGAGGTCACCTGGGGGACAAAGTGAGACTCTATCTAAATAAATAGGAGTGAGAAAGAAGGGATGAGTTTAGTAGGCAAAATGCTAGCCTGCATGTAGCCCTGGATTCCATCCACAGCCTGGAATAAACCAGTCATGATGGTTTATTCTGTAATTCCAGCACTGGTAAGATAGAGTCGGGAGATCAGAAGTTGAAAGTCATCCTTGACTCCAAAGTGAGTTCAGTGCCAGCCTAGAATACATAAGACTGTGTCTCAAAATTTTAAAAGAGTGAACATAGCTGGACACCATGGCGTGGTGCATGCCTTTAATTCCAGCCGTTGAGAGGCAGGCCAGCCTGGTCTACAAAACAAGTCCAGGACAACCAGGGCTACACAGAGAAACCCTGTCTTGAAGAAGAAGAAGAAAAAAAAGAGTTAAACATGTATCTTGGCTTTCCTATGTGGCCTACATTACATTGTGTCCAGAAGGTTAATGAGGGGAAGGTTAATGAGGATAAATTACAAAGATGATAGGATCAGGCTGGAGAGACCGCTTAGTGATTATGACTGCATGTTGCTCTTGCAGAGGACCCAGGTTTGGTTCCCAGCACCCACGGTGACTCACAGCCACCCCTAACTTTAGTTCCAGGTGATCCAGTGCCCTCTTCTGACCTCCACAGGCACCACAGGCAAAACACTCATACACATAAAATAAATTAAAGTTCTAATTGATAGTTAAAAAATTATTAGTTTGAAACCCAGTAAATCTAGGTAATGATTGTTGTTGGTTGCCATCATCACCAAAGCCAGCAAGTGCTCTTTATGTTTTGATGGAAATACATAATACCAGATTATTGTTGCCAAGGATGAATTGATACTAACTTTCTATTTTAAATATCCTCAGAAAATGAATAAAATAGCTGTAATATGAGGGCCATACATATATAATCACTAAGGATCAAGTCCATAGAAACTCAGAGAAGGAATGGCTTATTTTTTAAACAGGAAAATAGAAAGGAACAGAAAATAGATTAAAAGAGATTTAAAACACATAAGCCAGCCATAAGTTGTATGTCTTATTTGAATCTTAACTTGAACAAAGGAAGTAACATACAATATTTATATGATGCTAAAATTTGAGTACTGACTAAATATGTTGATAGAAATGGGTCAAAATTGTAAGTATAATGATGTTTTACAAAGTCTCTTTCCCAGATATACAATGAACTAATAAGCTGTCGGCTTTGCTTTCATTGACTAGTGGCATACAGGGTGATGGGAAGAAGTAAGGCTGGTTATGAGAGGATAATTGTTGTGTCTGAGTGAGGAATATACAGAATTCTTAGCAGTTTCTGTGCTTACAATTCTAGAAAATAAAATAATTCCCGGAAAATACTGATTGCCTATTAGCATGCACTGTGCTGGTGTAGATTTTTTGTTGGTCAGTACACGAATGAAAATTGTCACTAGCTTTGTAGAACTTTTGTTCTCCAGGAAGGCAGACGACAACTTTAATAAGTATGTAGTACAGACTGTGATTGATGAAAGGACAGCAACAGTTCAGTGATGGAGTCACAGTGCAGGACCTTCCCGTAGCCTGGAGGGAGTGGGCCTCTCTGAGATGGTGCTGTCTACCAGATCTGAAGAATAATAAAGGGCTTGCAGTGGCTGCACTTAGGGCATGGGAGCACTCTGAAAAGATCCTTAATGTAGGGCTATCGTTCTCTCCTGTAAGAGGAGATGTTTTACTGACTAGCCACTTGACTTAATACTTCTCTTGTTGACCATCTGTTGTATATTTATGTATGTCTGATTTTGAATTTAAAGTACAAACTCTAGGCTTGTTTGTGCATCTGGCATAATTTTATATGGCCTGAATGTATAATCCATGGTATTTAGTTTTTGATGGTTTTTTTCTTATTTTTTAAATATTTTTAAAATTATTCTTAAATTTATTCCAATTTATTCACTTTGTATCCCAGCTGCAGACCCCTCCCAATTGCGCTCTCCCTCCCTTTTCTCCTCCCATGCCCCTCCCCCAGTCCACTGATAGGAATGGTCCTCTTCCCCTTTCATCTGACCCTAGCCTATCAGGTTTCATCAGGACTGGCTGCATTGTTTTCCTCTTTGGCCTGGTAAGGCTGCTCCCTTGTCAGAGGAGGTGATCAAAGAGCCAACCTATGAGCTCATGTCAGAGACAGCTCCTGTTCTCCTTACTAGGGAACCCACTGGGAGACTGAGCTGCCATGGGCTACATCTGTGCAGGTGTTCTAGGTTATCTCCATGCATGGTCCTTGTTTGGAGTATCAGTCTCAGAAAAGACCCCTTTGCCCAGATTTTTGGTTCTATCTCCCCCTTCCTTCATAAGATTCCCTGCACTCTGCCCAAAGTTTGGCTGTGAGTCTCAGCATCTGCTTTAATACCCTGCTGGATAGAGTCTTTCAGAGGCCCTCTGTGGTAGGCTTCTGTCCTGGTCCCTGTTTTCTCCCTCTTCCAATGTCTATCGCTTTCTGAATGAGGATTGAGCATTTTACCCAGGGTCCTCCTTCTTGCTTAGCTTCTTTAGGTGTACAGATTTTAGTATGATTATCCTATATTATATATCTAATATCCACTTATAAGTGAGTATACACTATGTGTGTCTTTCTGCTACTGGGACACCTCACTCAGGATGGTCTTTTCTAGTTCCCACCATTTGTCTGCAAATTTCATGATTTCCTTGTTTTTAATTGCTGAGTAGTATTCCATTATGTAAATGTATCCAATTTTTGTATCCATTTCTCAAATGAGGGACATCAGGGTTGTTTCCAGCTTCTGGCTATTATGAATAAAGCTGCTGTGAACATGGTTGTATAATTGAGCATCTTTTGGATATATGCCTAGGAGTGGTATAGCTGGATCTTGAGGTAGCACTATTCCTAATTGTCTGAGAAAGTGCCAGATTGATTTCCAAAGTAGCTGTGTAAGTTTACATTCCTCCCACCAGCAGTGGAGGAGGGCTCCCCTTTCTCCACATTCTCTCCAACATGTGTTGTCACTTGAGTTTTTTATCTTAGACATTCTGATGGGTGTAAGGTGAAATCTCAGGTTTGTTTTGATTTGCATTTTCCTGATGACTAAGAATGTTGAGTATTTCTTTAAGTGTTTCTCTGCCATTCGATATTCCTCTATTGAGAATTCTCTGTTTAGCTTTGTACCCCATTTTTTTTAATTGGATTATTTGATTTGTTGTTTAACTTCTTGAGTTCTTTATATATTCTGGCCATTAGCCCTCTGTCAGATATAGGGTTGGTGAAGATCCTTTCCCAGTTTGTAGCCTGTCGTTTTGTTCTGATGACAGTATCCTTTGCTTTACAGCTTTTCAGTCTCATAAGGTCCCATTAGTGGATCAAAGACCTCAACATAAAACCAGACACACTAATCCTATTAGAAGAAAAAGTGGGGAAGAGCCTTGAACTCATTGGCACAGGAGACAACTTCCTGTACAGAACACCAATAGCACAGGCTCTAAGAGCAACATTTTTTTTTTTTTTACATAGATATTTTTCAAGAGATTGTTAGAATGTAGGTAAGAAAAGTCTTGTACTTTGAAGGAAAGAATCAGCAGTGAACATGAAGCACAGCCTTGTACCCCTGGAAGAGAAGAAAATGTGTCTTAGCTCTTGGACTGTGGCTCACTAAGATAGCTACAGATCCTCTCTTTTAGTTACTTTCTAGCTGTTTGAGAAGAAAGATCTCTCTCTCTCTTTTAATGGCTCATTTTCTTACAGTGATTAAAAGATGCTATGTTATTATTATGTATTTAAGTACCAAATTTTTCAGTAACAGGCACAATGGAGTGGTTTAATAAATGTATGCATTGGTGATTTTTAAAAATATGCTCCTGCTTTCTTAATATCAATTTGAAAGACTGGCTTTTTCTAACCTTCTAGGATTCTGAGTGTGTGGGCGTGCATGTGCATATGCATGTGTTCATGCTGTGCACTGGGAAGGTGCTGTTTAATTTTTACAACAGGTTCCTTTCTGTTTTTTCTTTGTTTAGACATATTACAGATGCCACACTTGCCATTGTGAAAGGAGAGACAGTTCCACTTGACGTCTTGCAGATCAAGGTAAAAATCTTTCCTTCAAGTTTTGAAAAGAGTATCAAATTAATAGGCACATGTTAAAGAAAATAGAGTTTAACAGTTCACATGGGATTATTATGAACACGGCATTCCCATTCTCTTCCTATCCCCAGTATTAGTCCCCACAGAAAAGCATTGTTCATGATTCTGTTATCACTAATTGTGATACCTCTTGTAATAAAAATCATGTGATGTAAAATTTACATTTGTAGTTGTTTTAAGTCTGCACTATGGTAGTGTTCAATGTATGATGTCACCTTGATAGTTTAGTTTTGAACTTAACTCTTGGCTTCTTCGTTACATGCAAGAATTCCTCAGTACTACTTCCTAATAAATTATATGTACTTTTAATTTCTCCATCTACAATCGTTGTGTCATAAGAAATCCATTTATGGTTGTTTTGAGTATTAAAAGAGCCCCTGAGGCTAGACATTGTACTGTATGCCTGTAATCCCAATCCTCTATAGGTAGAAGAAGGATGAAGGGTTCAAGGTCATCCTCAGCTACACAGCTGGTTGAGGCTAATCTGTACCACGTGAGAACCCTGCCTTTAAAACAGAAAAAAAGACCCATAAAATACTTGGTACATAGCCAAGTACAGTGGCACATGCCTTCAATCCTAGCACACTGGGAGGCAAAGGCAGGCGGATTTCTGTGAGTTCAAGGCCAGACTGGTCTACAAAGTGAGTCCAGGCTAGCCAAGGATATACAGAGAAACTCTGTCTCAAAACAAAACCAAAAAAACAAAACAAAACAAACAAAAAAAGTTTTGGACAGTGACTGATTTCTGTACCTGTTTAAATGCTGTTTGCATCTGTCTTCCATTCTCTATGACAGATGAACTTTTTCTCATGTCACCTGGAATAGCTTGGTTGTCTTGTAGTCTTAGCTCTCAGATGGGTTTTAAGTAGTTAGGATCTTGTACCTCATCTGTCCATCCTTTCTAACACTGTGAACAATGTTTTTTGTAGCTTCCTGCATCTTAGAATTCTCTGTTTTTCTATTGAGATGTATAACATTTTCTTATTTGTAAAGGATAATTTGTTTTGGAAATGTATTTGCTGGCTGTGCCCATAAAAGGGCATAGAAGAAATTACACCTCACAGTGAGCGTAATTTGGCATTCAGATTTTGGTCTTTAATTACTGCTATCTTAAACAAAACAACACACCTACCAGGACTCAGTAAAAGGGCAGTTTTAGAGGAAGGTAAGTATGAAGTAAGAAAACACTAAAAAATTAACAGGAACATTACAGAAAGATTTTAAGAGCCAACCTGTTGGTGTTTGAATATCAAAATTATTAATTGTGGTAGATTATGATGCTCTACATAAAAATAAGGAGTCCCTGAAGGCCGGGTGATGGTATGAAAGAATTGCCATGTTGTAAGTACTGAAGGAATGATAGAATATTAGCTTTATTTTTTAGTCACCATTTTGATAATTAATTTTAGGCCATCAGTAGGTCATCAGTAGAAAATGAAGCAATGAAAAGAATTCTATTGGGAAACCAATGTATAAGCATTTCCAAAATTATTTACTAAGTCATTAATGGAGGCAAATATGTATTTGAAGTAGAGAAATTAGCATATGCTCCTTTATCTGATCATGACACAAACTGGCAGTATCTGCCTTTTGAGAATGATGCCACGTCACTGTATAGTCTCCTTCCCCAAATGTCAGCTAATTTCAGTCTAATCACAATAGAGTAACAGAACAATCCAAACTGTGGGTTTTTCTAAACATTCAGACTGTCCTAAAAAATGTCAGTGTTGCACAGTCCAGAAGAAAGCAAGTGGTCTGGTCTATTCAAGATGAAAAGTGGGAACCTAGTAAAGGATTTGAACAATGAAAATCAACTGTAATCGTGGATGTTATTAGAACAAGTGAAGATACTTGTACATGACTTGTATTTTAGATACTGCCTTTCAACCTTGGAGTCCATACTCTGGGGAGATAATTGCTAAAGGTTCTGGGGTGATTCTACAACTGCAACTCTGACAACAGTGCACAGCATATGAGGGGCTGAAGAAAGAGCACTGGCTATTTTAGAGAACCCAGGTTTGCATTTTAATACCCAGATGTGACAGCTCAGAACTTGCTGAAAACTACCACTCCCAGGAATCTGATGCCCTCTTCTGGCCAGTGTGGGCACTGCATGTATGTGGCACAGACAGGCATGCAAATATACACATAAAAAATAAAATAAAATAAAAACAGCAGATAAGACTACAAAGAGAAGACTTTGGCAATGTTGACTTTAAGGGAGAGGTGTAAATAGTGTTCATTGCACTATTTAAGGTTTTGCCCTTACGTTGTTTTTCAAAATAGTGGGGTGAGAGAAATGGTTCATTAACAATTTCTACTTTTTGGTCAACATCCCTTTAAAATGCTAGAAAAAAGATAAGCTAATTTTGATAGGAGTTAAGCAAATATTCTTTCTTCATCTAACTTAAAAACAAAGAGCAAATGTCTCAAAATGCAGAACGGCAGAATTAAACCTTGCAGTGGTGAACACTGTGTTTGCTCACGTCCAGCCTTAAGGTGTGCCAGCTCCATTCTGCGTGCGCACTCATTGTTCACTCATTTTATGATTTTGTAAAAGTTTTAAGGGTTTATACTGTGCCATGATCCCAACTTTAACCCTGAAAGTTGTTCTTATACTGGTTGAAAATCCAAACACCGAAGCTCCCAAACTGGAAACTTTAGAGCATTCCAGATTCCACAGTTTTGGTTTGGAGTTAGGAATGCTCAACCATTAGTTTTTGCAAATACTCGAAAATTTGAGAAACCCCAAAATAGGGAACATCTTTGGCTTTCTGCCTTTCAGGCAAGGGACACTTAACTTATTTGCAGTTTGCTAGTCCATATTTTAAACTGGTGAGCTTACAAGTTTACAGCCAAGTTTCCTTTTATTTTTCTTTATACAGCGGTGTCAAGACTATTCATCATGATATTATTAATCATAATATAAATTGCAATTGATCTTTCAGCATGTAATACAGCTAAGCTGTTTTCACAAAACATTAAAGGATAACTAGTAGGGATTTTATCCATAAAGATATTGTAAAGTATGACTGGAGATGTTTTTTAATAACTCGGTGATTTAGACTTTATTATATATCTGTTAGAGGAAATATATTGCAGAGTAAATTGAATGTAACTGGGAATTCTTGCAGCGTTTGTACTTAAATGTCTTTTTCTCAACCCTGTTCTCTCATATACAGATTTTGTAACTTGATGTCAGATTTTTCACAATCTCTATATTAATGACACAGCCCACGAAGTTGAAAAATATTAATCAATTCTTAGAAAGGGTGGAACAGTAGCTTCTGCCCTAGTTTCTGAGGAACCAGAAATTTTTTTTTTATTTTTATTTTTTTTTCTTCTCCTTATTTCTGAAAAAAATTACTTTCAGAATGTGGAGAAAATATCTGTAAACAGAGCTTGGTTCCATAAACATTATAGACAATGCTTGATGCCAGTCTTTCCTTTTAAGAGCACCACAAACTTGTTATCATGAACTGAAGACTATCCAGAAGTACAAGAAATCATAAGCTATAACAGTATCGTATTTAGCTTGTTCACTGTTCATTGTGTACTCACAACTCATTTGAATGTTCAGTTTGATGAAGAAGTCAAGATATATTTCTTCATATGACATATATTTAAAAAAAAAAACATAGGTAGATAGGCAAAAACCATGTTGGCTCCATCTTCAAAACATATCCAAAGGCAGCATATCCTTCACTCTCTTGTTCCAACCCTGGTAGCCTTCGTCTTACTTCAGAGCCCTCTGGCTATAACCTTGCCTTATACCTTTGCCTCCCCATGGTCTGTTTTCAACAGCCATTGTGTGATCACAAGTTGGGGTACATCAATCCTTTGTTCAGAGCCCTCGGTAGTGTCTCTTCCCTGAATAAAAGCTAAGGTCATTCATTTAAAGTCTTTATTCTGGTCCGCTGGGCCTTATCTTGATTGTGCATATGCGATTTGGGTTTGTTTAAATGTCATTTATTAATGGCATCTTCTTTCATCTCCTAGATCAACTAGTCATTGGTCCTCTTAGCAATATCTTTGTAAAACTTACTTTGGTTCCACTGCCCTCTCATCATATTGTTTATGACTTCGCTCCCATTGATATCTAGAAGGATTTGAAGAAACTTTTTACTTAACTGGTAGTGCTATATCTCCCTGATGCCTCACTCCTAGGGCTCTATGGGCTCATATGAATTTCATTTTTAGTATGTCACCATGACATTGAGTTTTGTTTTTGTTTTTTGAGGTTGGAAGTCTGTTTTATTTCCATTTTTTTTTAACTCCTCCTGTAGTTCTCCAGCTAAGTACTCTCAATAGCCTCTTCATACTTGAGTGCCCTAGCCCCTGGCCCACAATCTTAGATGAAGTACTTAGTACTTGGTACCCAGAGACAAACATGTCCTCACTGGCACCTCTTTGTGTGCTCTGTGCTCGCATACTGGTTCATTCTCCCCATTGCTTGTATGAGTACAGAGAGTAGAAAAGCAGTCCACTGCCTGAGCAGGTACACAGCAAAGGAGTAAGAGGTCAGTGTCACCTAGTATGATGTTCCGATACATGTGTGTTTCTCTTACAAATCCCTTGCTTGGCTTTGACACAGTAGAATGAGAGTGATGCTGGTGCTGGGATTGGAGGAACCCTTGATCCTATGAGCACAAGATTCAATGTGCTTTCTCTGTAATATCCCCACCTCCAGGTCTTTTTTTTTCATTATTCTTTTTTTTTATTATTATTATTCTCATTAGTTACATTTTGTTAATTCTGTATCCCTTATTCCCTCCCCAATCCCACCCTCCCTCCCTCATCTCCTCCCTGCCCTTTTCCAAGTCCACTGATAGGGGAGGACCTCCTCCCCTTTCATATGACTCTGTTTTGTCAGGTATTTTCAGGACTGGCTGCAAAGTCCTCCTCTGTGGCCTAACTGTACTGCTCCTCCCTTGGGAGGTCAAAGAGCCAGTCATTGAGTTCCTGTTAGAAATAGTCCGTGTTCCCCTTACTATGGGAAACCAATTGATTACTGAGCTATCACGGGTCACATCCGAGCAGAGGTTCTAGGTTTTACCCTCTCATGGTCTTTGGTTGAGTGTCCATCTCAGAAAAGACCCTGTGCCCAGATATGTTTGGTCCTTGTGGAGCTCCTATCCTTTCCACATCAAACTCCCCTTCTTTCATATGATTCCCTGCACTCTGCTGAAGGTTTGGTTATGAGTCTTAGTATCTACTTTGGAGCACTGCTAGGTAGAGTCTTTCAGATGCTTTCTGCGGTAGACTCCTGTCATACGTTCAATGCATATCCCATTTGTCTTTCTAAATGAAGATTGATCATCAAACCTCGTGTCCGCTTTCTTGATTATCTTCTTTAGGAGTATAGATATCATTATGTTTATCATATCTTTTAGGTCTATATAAGCGAGTATATTCCATTTTTGTCTTTCTCCTTCTGGGATACTTCACTCAGAATGATCTTTTCTAGATCCCACCATTTGCCTGCAAATTTCAAGATTTCCTCTTTTTTGATTGCTGAGTAGTATTCCATTGTGTAAAAATACCACAATTTCTGTACCCATTCCTCCATTGATGGACATCTGGGTTGTTTCCAGGTTCTGGCTATTACAAATAAAGCTGCTACAAACATGGTTGAGCAAATGTCCTTATTGCGTACTTGAGCAAATTTTGGGTATATGCCTAGCAATGGTATAGCTGGGTCTTGAGGAAGCACTATTCCTAATTGTCTGAGAAAGCGCCAGATTGACTTCCAAAGTGGTTGTACCAGTTTACATTCCCACCAGCAGTGGAGGAGGGTTCCCCTTTCTCCACAACCTCTCCAGCATGTGTTGTCACTTGAGTTTTTCATCTTGGCCATTCTGATGGGTGTAAGGTGAAATCTCAGGGTCGTTTTGATTTGCATTTCCCTAATGGCTAATGACGTTGAATATTTCTTTAAGTGTTTCTCTGCCATTCTATATTCCTCTACAGAGAATTCTCTGTTTAGCTCTGTTCCCCATTTTTTAATTGGATTACTTGGATTGTTGCTTTTCAGCTTCTTTAGTTCATTATATATACTGGATATTAGCCCTCTGTCAGATAAAGGGTTGGTGAAGATTCTTTCCCAATCTGTAGGCAGTCGTTTTGTTTTGATGACAGTGTCCTTTGCTTTATGGAAGCTTTTCAGTTTCATGAGGTCCCATTTATTGATTGTTGCTCTTAAAGCCTGTGCTGTTGGAGTTCTGTTCAGGAAGTTGTCTCCTGTGCCAATGAGTTCTAGGCTGTTCCCCACTTTTTCTGTTAACAGATTTAGCGTATCTGGTTTTATGTTGAGGTCTTTGATCCACTTAGACTTTAGTTTTGTGCAGGGTGATAAATGTGGATCTATTTTCATTTTTCTGCATGTAGACATCCAATTAGACCAGCACCATCTGTTGAAGGTGCTATCTTTTTTCCATTGTATGGTTTTGGCTGCTTTGTCAAAAATCGAGTATTCATAGGTACATGGGTTTAATTCTGGGTCTTCTATTCGGTTCCATTGATCCTCCATTCTATTTCTATGCCAATACCATGCAGTTTTTATTACTATTGTTCTGTAGTACAGCTTGAGATAGGGGATGGAGATACCTCCAGAGGATCTTTTATTGTAGAGGATTGTTTTGGAGATTCTGGCTTTTTTTTTTGTTTCTCCATATGAGACTGAGAATCTTTTTTTCAAGGTCTGAAAAGAATTGAATTGGTATTTTGATGGGAATTGCGCTGAATCTGTAGATTGCTTTTGGCAGGATGGCCATTTTCACAATGTTAATCCTACCAATCCATGAGCATGGGAGATCTTTCCATCTTCTGAGATCTTCTTCTAATTCTTTCTTCAGAGACTTGAAGTTTTTCTCAAACAGGTCTTTCACTTGTTTGGTTAATGTCACCCCAAGGTACTTTATGTTATTAGTGGCTATTGTGAAGGGTGTTGTTTCCCTAATTTCTTTCTCAGCCCTTTTGTCTTTTGTGTAAAGGAGGGCTTCTGATTTTTTTGAGTTGATTTTGTATCCTGCCACTTTGCTGAAGGTGTTTATCAGCTGAAGGAGTTCTCTGGTTGAATTTTTGGGGTGACTCATGTATACTATCATATCATCTGTGAATAGTGACACTTTGACCTCTTCCTTTCCAATTTGTATCCCCTTGATCTCCTTTAGTTGTCTTATTGCTCTGGCTAGGACTTCAAGTACTATGTTGAAGAGATATGGAGAGAGTGGGCAGCCTTGTCTTGTCCCTGATTTCTCCACTCCAAGTCTTAATCTTGGCTTATACTAGCCATGGCAGAGAAGTGATGGTGTGGGAGAATCCAATTGGTCCTTTTGTCTTTCAGCAGCCTCTGTGGAGTTGTGTATAGTACTGTACCTCTTCTTAGAATATGGGGTACCGTGTATCTATCAGTTTCCAGCTATTGAAAGTTAGCTGCTCAGAACCATAGTTAATAAGTTCCCTTACCAGCAGATTCATGAGAACTAATATATAAGATTATACTAGTTTAAAGTATGGGTCATTCATTCATATACTCTTTCAGGCCATGGGTTCATAGGTCTTTTGAACACATATATAAAATATTTGGTTTGCTGAGAAGTAGGCCATGAGCATTTTCTAGATACGTATGAATTTACTGTGTTCACAAAGCTAAATCAATTGTATTTAATTTCCAGGGTGAAAAAGAACAACCTGTGTATGCAATGACTGGCCTCCGGTGGGGATCCTTCAGAGATGCTGGCGTCAAAGTTAGCAAGTAAAGGATTACTGTGGTGATATGTGATGATTCTTCACAAGTGTTATTCCAGCCAGGCAAGGCTGGTGTACACCTTTAATCCCAGCACCAGGGAGGCAGAGGCAGTCATATCTCTGAAAGTTTGAAACCAGCATGGTCTGCAGAGCTAGTTCCAGAACAGCCAAGTCTACACGGTGAAATCCTGTCTCGAAAAACAAAAACAAAGTTTTATTTGATCTTTGCTTTTGAGGTTTTAAAATACAGTGTTATTAGAGTAAATCTTCAAGGCCTGGAAGTTGAATTAAAGTATTGATAATGAAATAGGAACAGCCAGGTGAAAGTTTGAAATGTATAGGCAAAAAGGATAGGGAAAGTTCCATAAAGAGATGAGTATGTTTCTATTTTCAGACACATTTAGCTTAGGTTCATTGCTTATCTCATAGCAGCATGCTTATCTAGATCCCAAGGTGCTACCTAGACTTGAGCCTCTTGCAGCCCTTACAGTCCTAATTGGTCAGAAGACTGTGTGAGGTGTTTGAAGAGCTCGTAGGTAAAGAGAGTGGGCTGCTCTCTCCTACAGGAGAGAGGTGGGTGTCTGGCATCGCTGACTGGAAGAACAGGCTTGGGAGGAGTGGGCTGCTGCTGGCTTTCGTGGGAACAGACTTAGTTTTAGAGACTTGTGTGGAATGACACTTCTGGCTAGCAAAGAGCGTGGAGAGGTAGTGTGGGCTGGCTTCCCAAGGACACACCATGCAAGGTTCATCTCATTTCTAGTGTTGTCTTCTTTTGCGTACAGTCCAGGGCTTACAGTTTTAGTAGAGGCTAAAACTGTATAAACTCAATCATAACTAGGTTATGATTGAGCTCATGTTCAGCTCTCTCATTGAGAAACCTCTCTTGCAGTTCAGGGGCCAGACTGCTAACTTTTCTTCACAGGAATTTCTCATACATTTTACTCTATCAACCCAGTAATGAAATTTCCTGTCGGCAAAATGCCAGTCAATGAGTGCTGCTCCTCATTACACACCACAGTCTTCAGTGCTTCACATCTTTTTATTGCAAGTGTGCCATGGTTAAGTTGATTCCACAAATTACCTTGTGTTTGTCTGTCACCTCAAATTCCCACAGCTCACTGAGAGCAGTTGTTTGTCTTTCTCTGAGAAAGTCTGCTCAGAACAAACTGCTTTCCGAAGTGTTCTGATCAACAGTTCAGCACGGGTCAGCTGTGGTAGGAATAGCTCATATACCTGTTCCATATTTTGGCTGGCTTCTGGACAATAGTTTCAGGTCTGCAGGTGGTTATATAATACCTTGGCTAGGACTGAGTCACTTTTGGTGTGAAATCAGAAACATTCCCTTGCTGGCCATAGGATGACTTGAAGCATAGTATCAAAATTTACTACTGGTAAAAGTTCAAGGAGCTGCTAACACTTTAGAAATAAACCCTGAGTCAGGGTGTTTTTCTACTTGCTAACCGGGAAAAGGAGAAAACTATAAAGAGCTTTTGAAACACCATAAAATATCAAATATCCAAGGACCTCATCAGTTCCATCACAGCATTAGCCTGAATGAGAATTTAGAACGGTTCTACATTGTTTATATCTAACTTTGCTGTTCTGGGGCTTTAGGCCATTATCCCTAATGACCAGTTCTGTGTTTTTCCTTTTAAGCCTTGTCCTGTCTCTGGCTGCTATAACTCTTCTGGCCTAAAGTTATTTTTCTCCCTCTTTCCTTTGTCTAGATTCAGTCCTCCCTGAGTCACTTTCTGTTCCACACCTGTGCTTTACCCTTACATATTTTATGTCACAGCATGGCCACTCTAATGTTTGTTGTTTTTCCCTTCTTGACTTTTCTTACTGATAGTGATCAGTTTATACCACAACACATGTAGGCACATATAATTTACTATTATTTAGGGGACGTTAACTTCTCAAATCATAGGCCCAAAGGTAGGAATTTTATACTGTGTTCTGTATGTTTATGCCCTACACATCTTCTCCATATATTTAATAGGAGCTAAGTGAAGGCACTCTGACATGACTCAGTCAGGAGCAATCAGGTAGCATGGCTGGTGTCCTCATCACTTTCTCATTGCAGATGGGAGTCTTTCTCTCTAGTAGTTTTCATGTGCTTAGCTACATGCAATAAGTTTTCATTTTGAGACTTAACACTTGACATATTAAAGCCTTATAACATGAGTAATGTGGATATATACTGGTTTATGAATGTGTGTGCATTTTGTGTGAGATGGGCCATGGGGTACAGGATCCAGGCCTGTATCTTGTAACACATTAGATCATGCAGCACATGTAATACACTATCTGTGTGCGACTTTATTGCTGTCTCTTTGGGGCTCTTCTGATTGTATACTCAACCTGTACCATGGGTGAATGTTTGTATTATAATGACCTCTGTAAATTTAGGGGTCAAAGATTTAGGCTACACATCTCTTATTAACTACAAGAATCTTTCTACTACTTAATTGTATTTTGTCAGATGTGCCAATAAAATATAGATTAAAAGTGTATTACTTTTGTGTTATGCCACAGTCTTTAAGACCTCAGAGCAGCCAATCATTGGAGAGGTACAGTCCTGATAAATTGATTGTTTTGGATGGTATCTAGCACAGTGGTAGCTCTTTTCATCTTTTTATCTTGGTTTTTCTTAGGTACTGGTATCTTGGTCCACTAAAAATCAAAGCAGCCCACTTTTTCAGCACTCTTCAGGTAAATGCAATTTATAATGTAGAACCTGACCTATGTTAATTTAATATTTCCCTGTGATGTGCATATATGAGATATTAATTCCTTGCTATAGAGCCATTTAATATATATAATTACAGGAAACATTCTTGTTTTAATAGACAAGAACCCCAACTATCTATTTTATTTTTCTTTCTTTTTTTTATAAGTTATTCTTTTGTTTTTTCATCTTTATCAGTTTGATAAATGATAAATTTTATAATGAACATTTAAAATATTGAAATTTCTGAAGTTTTCTGTAGTCGAGGACAGTTTAAGCTATCTTTTTTTTTTTTTGATGTTCATAGCAACTTTATTTCTTTTTTTCTTTATTAATTACACTTTACTCACTTTGTATCCCCCCCATGGTTCCCTTTCTCCTCCCATCCCAATCCCTCCCTTCTTCCACCCTCTGCCTGCATGCCCCTCCCCAAGTCCACTGATAGGGGAGGACTTCTTTTCCTTTCTTCTGATCCTAGTCAATTAGGTCTCATCAGGAGTGGCTGCATTGTCTTCTTCTGTGGCTTGGTAATGCTGCTTCCCTCAGGGGGAAAAAAAACCCAGGGCCAGATGGTTTCAGCACCAAATTCTACCAGACCTTCAAAGAAGAGCTAATACCAATACTCTTCAAACTATTCCACAAGATAGAAACAGAAGGAACACTTCCAAACTCATTCTATGAAGCCACAGTCACCTTGGCTGTGGCTAAGTCACAGTCACCTAAACCTCACAAAGACCCAACAAAGAAAGAGAATTTCAGGCCAATCTCCCTCATGAACATTGATGCTAAAATACTCAACAAAATACTTGCAAACCGAATCCAAGAACACATCAAAGACATTATCCACTATGACCAAGTAGGCTTCATCCCAGGCATGCAGGGGTAGTTCAATATACAGAAATCCATCAATGTGATCCACCACATAAACAAACTGAAGGAGAAAAACCACATGATCATCTCCTTAGATGCTGAAAAGGCATTTGACAAAACCCAACATCCATTCATGTTTAAAGTATTGGAGAGATCAGGGATACAAGGCACATACCTGAACATAGTAAAGGAGATATACAGCAAGCTTATAGCCAACAACAAACTCAATGGAGAGAAACTTAAATCATTCCCACTGAAATCAGGGACAAGGCAAGGCTGTCTACTCTCTCCATATCTTTTCAACATTGTTCTTGAAGTCCTAGCTAGAGCAATAAGACAATTCAAGGAGATCAAGGGGATACAAATTGGAAAAGAAAAAGTCAAAGTATCACTATTTGCAGATGATATGATAGTATACCTGAGTGACCCCAAAAGTTTAACCAGGGAACTCCTACAGCTAATTAACACCTTCAGCAAAGTGGCTGGATACAAAATTAACTCAAAAAATCAGTAGCCTTCCTGTATACAAAGGACAAAAGGGCCGAGAAAGAAATTAGGGAAACAACACCCTTCACAATAGCCACAAAGGACATAAAATACCTTGGTGTGAACCCAACCAAGCAAGTCAAAGACTTGTATGAAAAAAATTTCCAGTCTCTGAAGAAAGAATTAGAAGATATGAGAAGATGGAAAGATCTCCCATGCTCATGGCTTGGCAGGATTAATATAATAAAAATGGGCATCTTACCAAAAGCAATCTACAGATTCAATGCAATTCCCATCAAATTACCAACACAATTCTTTACAGACCTTGAAAGAAAAATTCTCACCTTCATATTTTATTTTTCTATCAATCATTCCTCATATCTATCTATACCTACCTACCACCTACCTACCTATAGTCTATCTATCCTCATTTTTCCATGGCCAAATTCATGTTTGATTTGTCTTGGATACTTGCCTTTGTTACTTATTCACTCACCCTTGCCAGACAAACCTTGAACAGAGTAAGAAAATGTCTAGATTATTAATATGTGTATCTTATTAGTACCTGGCAATGCACTGAAGGTTTGTAGTAGATTAAAGATGAATTAATTATATAGGCTTGCATATATTATTAGTAGGTTTTGAACTGTGTTGGTTAAATAAGTATAGTACTTACTATATTGGACAGAATACGTTCCTCAACACAGACTTCTACTGGGCAGTTATCTATATATAATACATTAAAAAGTAATAAGCTCTGAGGTTGTAGAATAGCAGTGACAAAGCACTTGTATAAAGCCATGGGTTTTATCACTAATGAGAGAGTAAAGGCATAGAAAAAAGTGCTCAACAATTTCATATTAATGAAAAAGCAAATGGGAAAGCCACTCAATACATGACCTATATACTGTGTTCATATTTCGTGCAGATCAAAGCAATATAATCACAATGTGATTGGCTAATCTAAAAATTGTTTGTGAAAAACTAGGCTCCACTATTAATATTTAGAGTTTTCTAGTATTCTTCTAATTATAAAACAATATATATCCATTGAAAAATGTAGCTAACTTCTAAGAATTTCCATTTGTATTAAAGAAAAGAAATGGAAAAAATAAAAGTCAGTAAAATACATGGAGTAAACACACATAGTTTTAAAAATCAAATAGAAAAGGCAAAGATTTTTCTACTCCTAAGGCAAACTAATTAGTAAAAAGTATTATTGTTAAAGAGAGTAATAATAACACTCTCGGAAGAAACAGTACCTATAGTTTAAATGATGCCCAGTGTTTATCAGGTGCTTATTGCTATGTGCTTGGCAGACAGAGCGCAAACTGCACAGGCTTTCTGTCCTCAGGAAGTAAGCATGTGCCAGAGAAGTTCAGTGGATCAGCAGCCTGACAGATGGCCGGAGAGAAATGTAGATGGGCAAGAGAGGACCAGAGGAGGGCCTCCTAAATTCGACTGAGGGTCAGAAAGCCTTCATGAGTGCGTTTATGCTAAATTTGAAACTACATAGAACTGGACAAAGGGCATTTGGGATAGAGAAATGGGCTGTGTGAAGTCACTGTGCTAAACCATGGTCACTAATTCAAGGCTGGTGCAGTGCACTGTGTGCAGATGGATTGGAAGGACAGGGCTGGCTAGGGAGGTATTAACATATACAGATGTGCATTGTGGAAAAATTGTTCGGCTTCAACATGCACAAGGAATTGGGCATGTGTAAGCTATAGGCAAAGACAGCAGCTATCAGATTGACAGAGTCATTTAGTGATAGGGAAAGAGTGGCTGCTGAGGTGTGGAGTAGGGTTGCTAATGGCAGATGGATCAAAGTGCCACTGGAGTAAATATTCAGATGCTGGAAGATTATTAGAGTGCCAGACTTCTAGTCTGAGGGACTAGAGTTTTGTAACCTAGTTATTTTTTTTTTTTAATTAATGTTAATGGTATTAGGGAAAGCCAAGTTTGTGGAAGAAGATGAAATTCCAGTTTGCTCTGTGATGAGTGTAGCATGTCTGTGTACAAATAAGCATAGATATAGTTATGATTCTGTCTGTAACTCAGAGACTCTAGGATGAAGAAATCTGTTTCCATGTTGTAAGGATGTGACTGCTTTTGAAAGTATGGGTTTGGTAAAGGTGCCATTAAGAACCAATGGCTAGGAATGGCACAAAGGACTGTAAACATTTAGAAAATTGAGGAAAAAAAAATATGACTGTACTAAGAGAAAAGCCAAGAAAAACCCAGCATAGCAGCCAATAGAGGAGGAATTTCAAGAGAGAGAAAAAAGTACAAGTTTTAAGAAGCAAAGGCAAGAGTCTAAATATAAACAGGAGACTGTCTTCTGAACTTGGTAGCTGCCAAAGATTTGTTAAACTCCAAATAAGAGTATTAGATTATAACAAAGAAAGACAAGAAATAAATGGGAAGTAAAGAAACGAGAGACAGTGGAGCCTTCCCTTCTCTGATGAGGAGAGAAGGGAGAATGAGGGAAGGTGGAGTGTGACGGTAGGACTGGGAGAAGGAAGAGAGGGCTGTGATCAGGATTAAAGTGAATAAATTAATTAATTAATGGGAAAAAAAAGAAACAGAGACATCTGCAGGGAGAGGGTAGCACACACCTTTAATCCCAACACTCAGGAGGCAGAAGCAGGCGAATCTCTGTGTTTGAGGCCAGCCCCGTTTACAGAGTGACTCCAGGACAGCCAGGACTACACAGAGAAACCCTGTCTCGAAACACAAAACAAAAAGAAAAAGAAAGAAATGCAGACAGCAAGGGTAGACTGTTTCTTTTTCAGGAAATTTGACCTTGAAGAGGAGGAGACAGAAAAGGTAAAAGCTGAGAGAAATAGGAGGGCAATAATGCAGTGGTTTTTAAATGAGCAGTTGTTTGTGGTTTTTTTATGTCCCAAAGCAGAAGACGGGAGGAATGGGAAGTGAATAGAAATGAGACCGAAAAGATGACTGAGTTGTAAAATCCGTACATAGACAGAAGGATGAAATCCAGGGTTCTCCTTGCACAGGGGAAGGGCTTCATTTTTCACTGAGTCAGGAGAGAAGTAACAGTTAGATCCTCATGAAAGTAACATTGGAGAGGTTTAGGATTTTCTTCCTGATGTGATTTAAAAACAGGTGATCTTCTGAAAATTAAGCAGGTGGATGGATGGTAGAGGTGGCACAGAAAAGTCAAGAGAATTCGTACTGTCACATTGCACCAAAGCCTGAGAGTTTGTGATGCCATTGATAGGCTCTTGTGCTTTCTGTGTATACTCAGCTGGAGTATGAGGGTTTTTTTCCCCAATAAATGTTGAGAACCCTGATTTAGGGCTCCCTCCCTCTCTTCCTTCTCCCCTCTCCCTCCCAAACATACACACACACACACACACACACACAAACACTAATAATAATAATAGATTAAAACATATTATAAAAATATCTAGGGTGAGAAAGATGGGCTGTGAGGCAGTGAAGAGGCCTTAGACTGGATTTGAATTTAGTCTTAGCCAGAGCATTCTGTCCTCCACATGGAATATGATTGTAGCAGTGAAGTAGGTGTGGGATGCAACTGATTTCATTAGATTTCAGTGTGCCATCAGTAAATTGAAGGTTCATTTATTATGGTACCACTGTGCTCATTCATATCAATTTCTCTTGTTTGGATAAGTAGATGTGAGCAGTAGTTGTCAGTTCCATTTGTTTCTTTTATGTTAGGGGAAGTGGTAGAGAACACAGTCACTGTGTTCATGTTTATTTGTGTTTTTTTTTGTTTTGTTTTGTTTTGTTTTGTTTTTCCTGGCTCATAATACTTTTTTTCTTTTTAATTTATTACAATTTATTTACTTTGTATTTCAGCTGTAGTCCCTCCCTCATCCTCTCCCAATCCTGCCCTCCCTCCCTCTTCTCCTCCCATGCCCCTCCCCTAGTCCACTGGTAGGGGAGGTCCTCCTTCAGTTCCATCTGACCTTAGCCTATCAGGTCTCAGGACTGACTGAATTGTCTTCCTCTGTGGCCTGGTAAGGCTGGCCCCTCTCAGGGGGAGGTGAGTCAGAGACAGTCCCTGTTCCCCTTACTAGGGAACCCGCTTGGAGACTAAGCTGCCATGGGCTACATCTGTGCAGGGGTCTTAGGTTATCTCCATGCATGGTCCTTGGTTGGAGTATCAGTCTCAGAAAAGACCCCTGGGCCCAGATATTTTTGTTCTATTCATGGTTTTTAAGGCAAGGCTTTGAAAGGAAAATGAAGCTTGATGGCTTCATATTTCCAAAGCAGAGAGAATTCTGCTCATTGAAGAAACAGTTAGCTCATTAGAATTCTTTGCAGAGTATAGACCTCAGAGTTAGAACTTATGTGTACATGAAAAAAAAAAAGCTGTTTTCTTCTTCGTTGACAGGAGTGGCCTCAGACTCATCAGGCCTCAATCTCCTACACGGGACCTACAGAGAGACCTCCCAGTGAGCCTGAAGAGACCCCTCCCCGGCCCTCTCTGTACAGGAGGATATTACGCAGACTTGCCTCATTCTGGGCACAGCCACAGGATGGTGAGCAACATGGCGACTGTGGGTCACAAGCCCTGCTCAGTCTTAAAATGCCCTGGAGCAGACGGCCAGAGTCAGTTCTAGATAATTAACTGGAGCAGGAGGAGCCATACCACCCTAGTTGAATTCAGTGCTGTCAGTGTCTTGTGAATGAGCACCACAGTTTCTGTGCATTCTTTGTCACTGACATTAGTGCTACTGTGCTGCTTTCAGTGAGGATGTTTTGGGAATAGAGAACCTGATGTTTGTCTCTGTGTATCAGGAAAATGAGGTAAAGTATAGAATTGGATGAAGGGCTGAGGAAGCTAAACACAGACACCAGCAGCTCAGCTGTTAGTGTCTCTCTTTCTCAGTGTGTGTATGTGTGAGAGAGATATCAGTAGAAACCCTGACCCATGTCTGATGGATTCCCACAGCCTTCTCCCGTGAGGTGATCCCAGAGGTCTGGAAAGATGTACAGCTGTCCACTGTTGAACTGTCCATCACAACCCGAAATAGCCAACTTGACCTGATGGTAAGTGCACTCTTTTTATTTATTTATTTATTTATTTTAAGAATTTGGTGTCGGGGTTGGGGGGGGGGGGGGAGGAGTGATAGGTGCTTTTCTTGCAGCTCGAGTTTATTGGGGCACAGGAGCTCAAGGATCTCCGAACAAGTGTTTTGCTCATGCTTGAGTGACCTGGAGGACTGAGGACAGAAGCTTTAAAAGTGAAAAGCTAGAAAAACTCACTTGAACTCTCATTTGAGTAATTGCGCATTATTTTTGTGACTATATTGAATACATGGACTCGGATTCCCCAGGAGAAGCAGGCAGATCTATAATGACACATATGGGAGTTCTGTGTGGTTTGGTGAGACAAGATCTTGTTATGTAGTACAAGCTAGCCTCAAATTGTGATCTTTCTGCTTAGCCTCCTAAATAGTGGAGTTTCAGGCCAGTGTGCCATGTGTGGGCTTACATACATGATTTAATTTGGATACAATCTATAGACATGCATTGTCTAACACTCTTCATCTATGTGGCTATTTAAATTTAAATTACACAGGATTAAAGTTTAAAATGCAGTTTCTCAGTCAAGGTAGCCATATTTCAAGTGCTCGATAGCCATGTGTAGCTTATAGCTGCTATATAAACATGCAGATATGAACATTTTCATCAGTGTAGAAAACTCTTCTGGCTATTGCTGCTATAGACAGTGCATGAAAACAAGAAAACACAAGAAGTGAAATAAAGCAGACTGACTGTCAGCTGATTTTATGTTGCCTATAAGCAAAGAATTGATTTTCTAATTTTAAATGATGCAAAATCAAAAGTATATTTTATGGTACATGAGACATATGTGAAAGTCACATTTCTGAATCCATATATAAAGCAATATTTTAACACAGGTGTTACAATATTGAATTTCTCCTTTATATGTATTTCTCCTATGGCCACACTTGTAGTGCAGCGGAGGGAGCTGGAATAGTTGTGACAGAGGGTATGTGGCTCCAGAGCCTTAGGTGTTTGCTTTTTGGCAATTTTTAGAAAAAGCATACTGAGACTGGAAATGAGAGAACTTTAATTACTTATTATATTACCAATAGTGCCAGTATAAGTTGTTCTTACTCTGATATAGTCACAGTAAGATATTACTGTGATATATTCAGCTTTTATGAAAATCCAAGTAGTCCAGTCAGAAAACTGGCAGATGGAGCTGCAGTGAAGTGGGAAGGTTAATCTCACCATTAATGTTCACAGTATTGATTTGATTTCTGCTTATTTGTGTCTCTTGTGAAATACTTGCAAAGACAGCCTCCTTTACCTTCTGAAATAATTCCAGTTGAATTAAAGAAGTAAATTTAAAATAATAAAGCTACTTAGGATTAAGTAAAAATTAAATGGTTATCAGTATAAACTTGAAAAGTATAAAAGTTTTTCTAAGCATGATACCAAGGTAAATTTTATATTGATGCATTCATCTACTTATTTAAAAAGATAAACTTCTGAATGACAGTTGGGGAGAATATTAGAATGTGGCAGAGAAGCAGTTATTAGCTTTCCTTATCACAGACTCCTCATATAAATCAATAAGGAATGAACAGAGACAATATTCAACAATGGGCCAAAGGCTAAAAATAGAAAATGCACAGAGGGGAACATTTTTTAAGTAAAGCTGAGTTTATTACATGGGAGTCACTGTCCTAAGAATCTTACATAAGTTAGTTATATTATCCTCAGATTTCTACCATGTGTAAGTTTAACTGCATTTTATACTGAGGGTAACAAAAAAGTGTGCAAAGAAACACTAACTGAAATGGTAACTACTGGCTCACAACATGTGTTGCACACCACCCTAACACTAGTCCTCAGTGGCGCTGGGCTCGGGGAACTGGGCTGTTTCTTGTCCTTCATGAGACTGTAAGTTACAACACTCTTTGTTTTGGGTCATGTAGACAAAGTGTCTTCCCACGCATCCCCTTGCCCTGGTGGGTGTGGCTGTTAGCTGGTGGGCGTCAGCTGGTGAAATCTTAGCGTACATAGTCTTCCCTTACTTGCCACAGAGCTCTGAAACCACTGTGAAGGATGAGGTTGAAAGTCCTCTATTCAGAGGGATCTTTGAAAAGTAGATAAAATTTCTATTACACTTTTCTTTTAATTTGTAGTCTTTGATAACAATGAATTTCTAGTATTTTGCTCATGTTCTTTTGCCATTGTTCTTTTCTCTCATGGCTGAGTCTCTATGAGTGCATTGAGCTCACTGAGCATGTGACTGCAGCTCTAAAGGAGCCACATTCAGGCTGCTGAATGTTCTTATCTTTGTGCTAATTACAAAGGTATGTGACACTGCTTGTTATCACTAGTGGAGCAATGTCATTTTTTTTCCCTCACCACTTTGCAAATGCAAATACAATAAAGTATTCAGAGACTGTAGCTGTCTTGTAATAGCTTGAAATGTTTACTTATCATTAAAATACTATATCCATAGTATGAAAACAGCATTAGGATTGTGGCTGTCAGAAATTTAATGTCTTTAAATAAGCATGTTTATTCTTTAATAGCAAAGATATTAAATAAATTAAGTGAATATTGATGCTTTTATTTAAAGTAATATATAATCTTTACACTTACTAATGTGGCAAGATGCTCATCATATATTGCTGCGTGAAAAACCAATTTAAATTGATTTTTATAAGATGGTTGGTTTCATTTTTATTCAAAAAAAGAAAAACTGCCACCTATAATTGAGCTTTTGAATGGCACAGGTAAAAGCTCCAGTTTTATTTACTCATTCTAGTAGCCAGTTGTTTGGCCAGCCTATTGAAGCATCCATCTTTCCCTTAGAGATGGAGAGGTGATTGTGAGCCACCCATTGAGGGTGCTAGAAACTGAACTCAGCTCCTCTTGAAGGGCAGCAAGCATTTTTATCTCCTGAACCATCTCTTCAGACCCATGATTTCTATAAATTCTATACGATGTTTATTAGGTTCCTCATAAAAGTTTTATAAGGTTGCATTGTATACATAAATCAACTGAAGAGAAATGGCATTTCTACAGTATTGACCCTTCTGGCATATCAATGTGATGTATCCCTTCATTTACTTAAGTCTTCAATATCTTTCAATGAAGTTTTATGGTTTTCTCTATAGCATTTGTCTATGGCTGACTATACTCCTGGTTATCTTACTTTTGATGCTACTATCAATATGATCTCTTAAAACTTTATTTGAAGAGACAAACAATTGATTTTTGTGTGTGTTGATGCTGAATCAGCATCTAATTAAATTCTTATTAATTATGTTTGCCTATGGGTTCTTTTAGATTTGTTATAGATTTTGCTGTTATTAACAGCAAACAGTGCCAGTTTTGTTTCTTCCTTTTAAACATGTTGTTTTTCAAAGCCTTTGTCCTTCCTCACTGCCCTGTGAGGACTTCAGTGATGCTGTACAGAATCGCTGATGGAAATCATTGCTTTGTTCTCACATTTGATACCATTTTTTGATTCATGTTTTTAGATAAGGAAGTTTCTCATAGAGAAAATTTTGCTAGGTTTGCCAAGAGTTTTATTAACTTTAAATATCTTAGGCATTAAATTCTATAAAGTATCTTTTCATCATCCATTAAGACAATAAGGTTCACACACACACACACACACACACACACACACACACACTTGAAACCACCTGAGTTGAAGAAAGAACTCCTCCCAAGAAACAGACTCAATCCTGGGAGATTCAGTCACATCAGGACCAAGAAGTATATTCCCACCAGGTAAAGGTGAACGTTGTTGTCAGGAGGGCCTGGGGCATTGATCCTTAAAAAGGCATTTCCTCCATATGGGACAGAATTAGTCCGATTCCAGCCTGTTTCCTGTAGCAAAATCTGGAAACTAACTTGCGGACTGGCCATTTCCAGGTGACCCAACTGTACCTCCAGACAAAGCAGAAGAAAACGGTCAGCAGAGGGGCCAGCTGGCCAGCTGCCTTCAAGCAACGATGTTGCTACATTTTATTGGAATGCAAACACACCAACACATTACGTTGTATACAGCAGAATCGAATGGCCATCATAGAGACTTCAGAGAGCTCTCTCTGGTCCATAACAGAAAACACATGTTGGTGTCCATTTTTACTGGAGCAGGGCTTTGCTGCCTGCTGCAAGTTTAAATATGCCTGTTTTCTTGCCCGTTATCTTCTGTGCATTAGGCCTGGTGACTACATCGTTTCCCTCCTCCCTGCCACTTCCAATGCCATGTCTCATCATCATATCATTGTCCTGGCATCTACTGAAACTTCCCTGCGCCTGCTCATTTCTCTGTAATGTTCTTTCTTGGTTCTAACTGCCTGCCTCTACAGTTAGACCTCTGTCTCAGTTCTTAGCACAGCAGGCAGAGTGACCCTATTACAAAAAAGATAGAACATTTCCCTCCTTGGAGCCCTCTACTGCCTCTCCATCTCACTCACCACATTCCTTAAAGTGGTCTGCAGAGCCCTACCCACCAAGATTCTCTTTCCCTCCTCCATCTTTATGGTTTTCTTGTCCCTGCCACTCAGTCTGCTCTAGCCATGTGGATTTCTTTGCTGTTCTCTGTACATTGCAGGGATGCCCCCACCTGAAGGTCTCTGCCATGTAGTTCCCTTTGTATGGATGGCTTGTCCTTAGAATGCTGTTTATTTATTTTTTATTACAAATATTCACTTTGTAGCCCAGTTGTAGCCGCCTCCCTCATCTCCCAATCCCACCCTCCCTCCCTCTTCTCCCTTATGCCCCTCCCCTAGTCCACTGATAAGGGAGGACCTCCTCCCCTTCCATCTGACCCTAGCCTATCAGGTCTCATCAGGACTGGCTGCATTGTCTTCCTCAGAGGCCTAGCAGAGCTGCACCCCCCAGGGGGAGGTGATCAGAGAGCCTGCCACTGAGCTCATGCCAAGACAGCCCGTGATCCCCTTACTAGGGAACCCACTTGGAGATTGAGTCTGTGAGCTACATCTGAGCAGGGGTTTTAGGTCCTCTCCATGCATGGTCCTTGGTTGGGATATCAGTCTTTGCAGGGGACCCAGGGCTGAGTTTTTTGGGGTCTGTTGGTCTCCTTTTGGAGCTTCTGTCCCCTCCAGAATGGTGGTTTTTAAAGGATAGTCTTTAGAGTGGCAGCATCAGATTACCAGGAAATCATTTGAAATAAAAATTCTTGAGCTTTAGAACAGGCCTGCTGAGCTAGGAACTCTGAGAATGATAGCAGATTTTGAGTGTGTTTTAAATTAACTTTTAACCAACAAATACAAACAGGATCTTGATGTTAATTGGCTCTACAGGGATACCCACTACAACTTGAAAATGGCTTCCCCTGATAAATACATTCCTTCCTTGATTGCCTCTTGGTCTTTTTGTGATTAGGGTCACCTTTCACCTGGCCTCTCTTTAAAACATTAGTCACTGGGGCTGGAGAGATGGCTCTGCAGCATAAGAGCACTTTCTACTCTTCCAGAGGGCCCAGGTCTTCAGAGGATTCAGGTTCAATTCCCAGCACCCACACAGCAGCTCATAACCATCAACTCTGGTTCCAAGGCCTCCAACAGCCTCTTCTGACCTCCGTGAATATCTTGAACACAGTTAGTACATGGACACACATACAGTAAAATCATACATACACTTAAAGTACAAGTAAATAAATCTTTTTTAAAAATGTACTGCCACCAATGCCATCTCAGGCTTCTTGTCTGTTTATGGCATTTTGTAAAATATTCTGATGTACTTCTACTATACCTATTTCTACTATATTCAGTAATATACTGCTTTATTATTCTGTCTACTCCATATACTCCCTACAGTTAAATGTAAGTTCTTTGTGGGCAGAACTCTTTCTGTGTTCTGTCAGGGATGTAACCCAAACATTCTGAGGGTTCATGAAATGTGGCTAGCATGCAGTAGGAAGTTGAATGAAACAGGAAATGGGAACTCTGAGCAGTCGTGTCAGAATATTGTGTTTTGTAATTCCTAGTTGAGAGATACTCTTTAGTGGTACCTTTGAAACAGTTCTCAGAGGCTTGTGTATGCTCTTCTGGGCCTACATGTTTTGATCCCCTAAGAAGGCCATGCAGAAGTGTTGGGATTGCTTCAGGAAAGTGGACTTGTGTTGCCCGATGATGACTAGTAGCAAACTGAGGAAGGGGATGGGAATTGTGGTTCTTCCCACAGCACTTCCTTGCGGGTCAGTCTTACAGAACTTTGTAGAGATAGAATCAAAGTTTTGCAACCATTTTTTTTTTTTTTTTTTTTTTTTTTTTTAGGGAATAAGTAGGTTGCTGTTTTCTACTCTTGTTGCATATTATGTTTCCCTTTAGAGCATTTTAAAGAAAGCAGACACCTGTGGGTGACAGCTGCATTAGCCCAATTTTCTAGTCTTAATGTTCATATTCTTAATCTTTCTAGAGCAAAGAGGACTTCATGAACATTTGCATTGAGCCTGACACTGTCAGCAAAGGAGATTTCATAACCATAGGGTAAGTGCCTGGCCTGTGGGAAGTGGAGCTTCATCAAATAACTTCTTCAATCCTTTCTAGAGTGGGTTGTCTGCTTAAGATGGGGACCTGGCAAAAGCCGGTCTGCCTGGGAATTCTGGCCTTTTGATAATAGAGCTGGTATGTCCAGTATCTGTGTACTTTGGCCCTCTGCTCATTTTGGGAGAAGCAGACTGTTGCAGTGTTTTAATTGAAATTAAAAAGCTCAGTGTTTCAGGCAGAGTTAAGGACTCTAGTTTCAGTCCAAGAGCTTGACTGGCTCCTCACTGACTTCAGGACTCTTAAGGTCACTGACTTGTCTGACTTCTTTCCTATCCATAAAACGGTAGTGTATCATCATGTCTCCTACCTCAGGACTGCTTGTCAGTCTCAGAGAGGCTTCTGACATTGAGCCGCGCTTCCCACCATCTTTTACTGTGCATGCCATTCACCTTGTCTTCCCATTCCCAGAATATCAAGGACAAACGTGGAAGAATGCTGAGTGCCTGAACATTTCTCAGGCCTCCCCTTTTCTAATAGAGTGGATTCTTCCAAGTCCTGCCTGATTTGTTAATTCCTGCCTTGGCTGGAACTCATTGGCTATAAACCCTCCAGACATCTTCAAAGTATCTAAGGAGCTATGTGTTCCCATGCCAACCAGCAATCTACTCAGCTATCTTTGCTTTGTCCTGGTGCTCCCTCTCGTGCCCATTTAGGGATTGGACATTCCTTCTGCAACAGCTGTGTCTCCATGGCTTCATCATTATCTGTAACAGCGTAGGCAGCAGGATGGCTTTCATTAGTTTGTGTTGTTCTTGCCTTTGATACAAATTTTTCAGGTACTGAATGGTCCCTTCTGCAGCCTTTGATTACACTCACTGTAGTACAGGGAGGAAGGAAAAGGCCATCCTTTCTACAGTGTGTACAAATCTCACAGTATCTTAAGTGTCTTAAGTGAGTCTACTAGTGGGGAGCAGTTGTAGTCAAATTCTTATAGCAAGGGAAATAAATTTGTGTAATTCATGTGTTCGTTGAATATCTGAGTGGAACATGGTAAAGCTACATTGAAACTGAAGACAATTTCATACACAAAAGAATTGCTGTTTCCAAATAGCATAGATAATGGACTTTTTTTTTTTTTTCTTTTTTGAGACATGGTCTCTTATAGCCCAAGCTTGCCTTTAACTCCCCAAGGAGCTCAGGCTGACCTTAAACTCCTGCCCATCCCTTTCCCTGTTTTTGTATTTATCATAACTAGCCAAGTGAGGTAGGTGTGCATTGAGGTCATGCATGTTTCTCACTCACTGCTTTATGCCCAGGCCACTTAGCAAAGGTAAATGTGCTAAAAGTAGGTTGTTACATTTGAGAGTCATCAGAGAATACCCAAGACTCTGCATAGGGATAAAAGAATTATCTACCCTAAACTAGAATAAAACTACTTTGTCCTTCATAAAGGATCACAAGGCCCAAGTAACAGAGATTTGATGCTTTTCTCAAAGGATTGAATTACACCCTAATTTTAAAATTTGAGTTGAATGGCTTAAAAACTAGATAGAACCATTAAAAAAACAACAACAATTGAGAGAAACTTTGTCTCAGCTTTATGCAGTTCTCTACACAGGTCAATCAGTCTTCTCAATCTGGAACATATTCCAGTGCTGGGCAAGAATCACAGAACTATCCACTGAGCCCTGGTCTCCACAGCTGCTCTTAATTGCCCTGTAGGGGAGAGCTGGGCTTTCCTTAGGTTTAATGCAGTTGCTGTCAATGGTTCTGACCTAGCCTTTTCTTACACTAATAGAAGTAAGAAGGTGAGAGATCCTGGCCTGCGTACGGCTGGTACTGAGTGTCTCCAAGCCAGCCACTGCACTCTGGTTCTTCCTGAGGTAAGGTGCTCTGCAGATGTTTTGGGTTGGCCTGTCCCTCCATTTTCCTCCTCTTCCTTCCATATTAACTGCCATTTAGGTACCTTCTGTTTGATAAACTCATTATCAGGTCTGAGTTAAAGGAGACAAGAAAAGAAAGACCAAAGTTTCTAAGTTACTGATTTGGAGCAGGACTCTGGGGCCTTTGAAGTCTCTAAGCCAATGTTCTCCCTCAGAGTGATCCTTAGGTCCTCTGACCTTTGCTTCTTCATGCCAATAATGCGAAGGATGTTTATATTAGCTGAAGAATTTTCTAGCTGGTGGATAGTTTTATTTTTTCCTGTAAACTCTGCTATAGAATGTCATGCTTAGAATGACACCCTTTGTTAGGAATAAAAAGTGGAGATACATGAATTGAGGGTAATTTGATTGCTGCTTCCCCAGGAAGGATTAACGGCAGGCCTGAAGAGCTACGGCCATGCTGCTGCTGCCCTGCATTGAAACTGTAGGCAAATGGGAGGTGTCCACATGCTGCCACCATAATTTCGTGGAGCAAATGCTCCATTAAATGAGTTCTGGCAGGACTCCATAGAGTCTGTAATGATCCTCTGTTGACACATCCAAGCCTGAAGCCCAATAAGTCTTGGGGAATAGAAATTAGTGGACACAACATACTTCACAGGAGAATTAGCTATCTTTCTTGCTTTTAGCTTAGGATTATAGTCCCTGGTCCTGGGTTACATGCTCATCATTTTTTTCCCATAATGGATATCCGTGCTTATTTATTATGTTAGTTCTTTGACAATTTAATAGATCTGTAATATGGAAGGGCTCCTGCCTTTTCATAGAGATGCAAAAATTTTAACTTTATTCAAGCTCCATAGTGTTTCTTGAGATAGTTTTAAAAGGAAAAAAATCCCTCTTCATAGTCAGGAGGGAGGAAAAGAGAGAGAGACAGAGAGAGAGAGAGTGAGAGGAGACAGAGACAGGAAATGTTTGCAGAACCAGTCAGGACTGGGAGATTTGTTAGGATGTGCCCACAGTGGAGATGCTTACTCATCCATGAGGACACAGGTGTGCTTAAAACTCTCATCTCTCTAGGGAACTGAAGGTTCTTTCAGCATTGACAGTGAGGAGTATGAAGCCATGCCTGTGGAGGTCAAACTACTGCCCAGGAAACTGCAGTTCTTCTGTGATCCAAGGAAGAGAGAGCAAATACTGCAGGGCACATCCCAGTGAGCTGGCGGCAATGGGGGGGGAGGGGGACTCCCAGGCTGCATCAAGCCACCAGTGGGACCACAAACGCGTGCATCATCTATACCCAAAGTGTCACAGGATCCCAAGGGAATTTTCGTGGCAAGTACCCTGACCCTTCCTCTAGTGCTTCCTAGAGCACATACCCGTCAGCCAACTTGTGGTCAGCATTCTGTTAACCCATGCTTTCCTTGTGTTGTGGTAGTTGATTCCTCCTACACAGCGGTTGACTTAGGGTGGTTGAAAGACATTCGTGCACTTAGTTGAAAGGGGCTGGAATGTTGTGACTGCCCCACAGTGGAGAGTGGAATCAGTAGACTAAGCTCCCGTTCCAGTTTTTTGTCCGTCCTAGGGTATCCCAGGGAAGCAGCTGCTGTCTCAGGTGCCTCTCCCTTTCTGGGTTCTCTCATGGGTGCTGCTCCTCCGTGAGCTTTCTGCTTTATTGCTTGGTCTCAATCTAGAAAGCAAATGTGAGGTGTTTCCTCTTCAGCCATGGCTAATGTACCATAAAATGCTATTTACAAAACAAACTAGTGCTTCTTCATTGTTAGTTTGCTTGTGTACAACTGTGGCGCATGCTGAAAACTAACTGACCTGGGACCCACCCCCAGCCTTGTAACTCAACCTGCCAGGAGGCAGGGTTCTTCATTTTAAAAGGCTTCTTCCCCGGGTGACTCAACCACTCCAGGAGAAAGTGATTTTCCCAAATGTATTATATTTTTTTTTTTTTAAAAATCACGTGTTCGTGTTGACATCTATTGTTTGTTTCATGGGAAGTTAAACACTTGTCAGTGTACTTCTTGTTGTGTAAATACTGTTGTTTAAAAATAAAAACTGTTGCATCATTCTTTTAAACATATCCAGTGTCATTTAAATGCACCCCTCGTTTATAGGACTGGAAGAACACGAGAGAGGGGGCTGTGACAGGGATGTAATGTGAATAAATAAAATTTTAAAAATAACCCAGTAAACTAGCTCTTCACTATTTGAAAATTTTGAATTTATTTTTTCTCCCTTGTATATAACTCTATACTGCTACCAGCAAAGGGAGTCTTACAATAGTTTATTTTTATGCTTGGTATTCTTTATCAATTGCTTTTCGTCAGTAAACAATATAAATAAGTGCTAACTTATTACAAAACAAATGTTTTAACAATTATTGGTATATATTAGAATAATTATTTGAATAAATGATAAATAATTATTCAATAATAAATAGATAAATAATTTGAATCAATAATAATTAATTGGTAATTAAAATTGTTATTAGAATGTTTCTATTCATAACTTATTTACCCAATATATAAATATTATTTCGGTGAGATAAGATATCCAGTATCAGTTATATTCCTTTTTCATTTTTTATTATTTATGAGGCCAGAAAGTTTGTAACATTGATTTTTGTTTTTGTTTCTGATTTTTCTTTTTTTGGTTTCTTTTGTAATCTTGGCTGTCCTGGGCTGCTGTGTAGACAGGCTGGCCTCAAGCTCACAGAGATCTATGCCTGCCTCTGCCTCCCTGAGTGCTGGATTGCAGGTGCTCCACCACACCCAGCTTCATTTTTTTTTTTTTAATGCTTTGAAATTAGTGTGGGGGGGAGCATACCAAAGCATTAAAATTAATAAGGATCTTTCTCTAGTCTGTTGCAAGCTGAGAACTGAAAGCACTTACCTTTCTAAGGAGTTGCTACCAAGATATTAGTACCATTTACTTTTATTACTACCATGGGCATTTTCTTTGCTCATGCCCAGAAGCCCTTGAACTCTAGAAGGCCTGCATTATAGTAAATTAGACTGAGCCTTTGTCATTGTGAAAGGGAAAGTGACACTCTTAGTAGCAGGAATTTCAGAAAGATCAAATTTAAATGTAAAGACAGTAATATACCTTTACCCGTGTGCTTGAACAGAGTAGACAGACAGTACCTACAAAAAAGCCCATAATTGACTCTCACAAAGAGTAAGGCTTGCCTATGTGGTTCTTTATGCTATGCTGGTAAATGTTCCGCTTTAACAGCAAACAGAGGAACCTGAAGATCAGCATAATCACTTACCCTGAGCCAGCTGGAGAGGGAAGGGGGCTGCTACCGTGTGAGGAAAGAGGAGGCTGTGCTTCTGTAACCACATGTAGGACCAGTAGAGAATCCAGCGATAGTTCTTAAAGCACTGGGCAGCTGCAGATTCTAATCATAACCACTGCCTTGAGGTTAGGGAAGGACCCACATTATGAATTTTACTCACTTTCAACTGTAAATGTGCTTTCTTAATTTTGTTTTCTTTGGTCAGTTTCCTCTAGAGACTTCGGTTTCATCATCTACTCCTTTATTCTTTGGATCGCCTATCCATAAAATGTCCATATTTAACAACAGGTATACAGATGCTCTGCAAAGGAGACCATGGGGGTCACCTCCAGGCCTTTATGCACACAGCAGGCACCATAGGAACATCAGTTCTCAGAATGCCCCTAAGGCATAGGCACTATTGGTATGACTGCCCCACTTAGAAAACAGAGAGCTTTGCAGCCAGGGTAACAATTCACAGAACTCCCCCATGGACAACATGCGCACATGCAGCGGTGTGATGCTGCTTTGCGCTCTCTTGACGAGAGACTTCTGAAAGAAAATAGCTTCTGTCTAGAGTCTAGAAGTTTCCTGTGGGGGTTAAGCATTCACAGTCCTTGTTCTTTGACTTCAGTTTCCATTACCTGCAGAGTGTTTATCCAGCCGCAGCCTCTCAAAGGATTGGCTCAGCTCCCCAGGGTCTGTCTTCATCCCTTTAAGTCAAGCAGATTTCATCCCTTGGGCTCTGCTCACAGGTTGGGTCATCATCATTCCTTCCTACCAAAAACTACAGGTAAAGGATCACAGCACACAGGCTCATGTTAAAATGTGAACTTTAATTGTAAAAATGTTTTTTTGTAAATATAGTTATTATCAAGCTCTGCACATAACTTGGTTCAGATATATACAGATATGACATACACGGGTGTTAAAGTGTACCACAGGAAGAACCAATTCAAGAAACATTTACACTTAGCCTCGGGGTTAAGTCCAGCTTCCTTCAGGTCTGTAAATAATACACGGTTAAAGACACAGAGAGAGGATACATCAGTCTGCAGTAGTACCCAGAGCAAAACTTACCAGTTACCCTTCTGACTTTGTCTATGAGGTAAAGACTTGAAACAAAAATAGATCCGGGTTCTCTTATTGCTATAACTCTTATGCTGGGGTTATTACTCAAAATAGGTTTTTACATTTAAGGCAACAGGGACACTATGTTAAAAAAAAAAAAAAAAAAACTAGGAAAACATATTTCCTGGGTTACAACTATTTCTAACTATTTCTTTTTCAGGAAGGGTTATATTTCAGACTGATATAAAAATTTAGCCAACAAGTTTTGGGCAAATAAAAGAAATTGGTTTTGTTTACCCCTGTCCCAAGTCCTGGCAGCCACTCATGCTGGCAGTGCCAGAGCACAGAATCCATTTCTTGTGGCTGATGTGGGCACAGCAAACCCAAAGTTCATTTTTCTAACTTTTATATATCTTTGTTTAATTTACCCAGATACAATGTTGATTAAACATATTTGCTCTACATGAGCTTTTCACTTTGCAGTTCCACTTAAAGCACAATTTATATAACCCTGTGCTACCCCCATGAGCCCCATAATCATTAGGAAGCAAAGTAAACTCAGCAGACTAAGCAGGCACCTGCTACAAATGCAAACCTTTCAGAATTTAAGTCACCATGGTTCTGAAAGGCAGTGCCATGTTGAAATTCTAGAACAAGTTCTAAATGTTAAAAGCAGAGTTTGATTTTTCCCATCTTCATTTCTCTATATAGCACCAGAAAATTCCTATTCCTTTTCTAAATTTACAGTATCACCCAACTTCCAGTTGCTAAAATGAATTAAAGTGCCAGTTAGAAAACTACCTCCCATTCCCATCGCCCTCCCTTACCAAGAGGGAGTAGTCATTGAAAGACTATTTACCCTCTTCTGTCCTAGAGCTTCACTCAAGGTTACTGTCCCTCTCATTCTTCCCGGGCCAGCTGACTTTATCTCCCGCAATGCTGCTGGAATAATACAGCACAGAGTCTGTGCTCATGCTTTAAACACTGTCTTGGACAGTGACACATTTAAGAGCCTGGGCTGCTATCAAACTACAAAACTGCCCATTTTTTCTTATATTATAACTTTGCAATTCCTTTCCATTCCAACACTTGAGTACTCAAGTCACCACTCAGTAACACTGATATAAAAAAATAAACTCCCATTTCTTGTAGGAAAAACATTACCTTAATTCACATTATTTTTTTCCTCCCACAACACTCAGTACTTCAGTAGCTCCTGGGAACAGAGGTATATTAGCAATAAAATGGAAGAGTCAAAACCCATGTCTTGGGTATAAAGAAGCCCTTAACTCCTCCCCTTTCCCTACCTGAATCAAAAAAGAGTTTTCATGAAATGAGAAGGGATGAGTCTGGGCCTGCTGAGGTAAGCCCATAGCTCTCCCATAGACCTACTAGCTATGAGGGAGAAGTGAGAGGGCTGGACAGCTCTCACAATCAGTCTACTAGCCTGGAAGCCTAATGGAAACACAACAGCCCCCGGAGGGCATGTTGGGTCTTCCTGTGATATTCTTGGGTTTTCTAACTCTTCTCATAATAAGGCAAGTTCACTGTGAAACTCAGCATTATCTTATAGTTCTGTCCATCCACACCCCTGTATCCCTTTTTTACCTCTGCAAGGACCATCACACTAGACCCAGAGAAAGCATCTCAGGCCACTCACTGGCTGTGCAGCTTAAGGAAAAAGGCAGGTCCTGAGTCCCTGCGTCTCTAGGAGGCTGGTTTGCCACCAGAAGGCTAATTCATCCCCACCCTTGAGAGATGTCTCCCTGAAAGTCTCAGTGAAGGCTGAGTTCTCTTTACCTTTTCACTGTACCAATAAGCCTTCAGTGCCTCAAGACAGAGAAGGTTCATCTCCCTTGCCACCAGAATGAAGACAGCAATTAGCTACGATTTCATTTGCCTTTATCTTCTAGCTAAAATATATTAGGTAATTATGTAAGTGGTCCTTCTCAAGAAGAGTTTGGCACTACTCTGAGTGTCACTCACCTTTCCCGTGGTTTTCCTGTCAAGGTAAGTTACAAGTTTCAAGTTCCTATCCTAAGTTCTATCTTAGCAATGAAACCAGCTTCTCTCCTGAAGCCGGAGTGGGTGGGAGGTGTGGGAGGCAAATGCCTCCTGTCACATTGTACTCCTAACTGACTGGACCATATGGGCTCCAGGTAGGACACTGACACTGGCCTGGATCCATGCCCAACACAGGGAAGGATTCATTACCAAGCAATGACTTGGCCTTTCTCTGTAAACTGGGCTCTGCTATTTTTACTCTTTCCTAGGAAAGTGTTCTGAGCCAAGCAACAACTAGCTGGGAATGACCATCTGTTAACAAAACAGAAAACATCCACTTTATGAGGCTTTGTTATGCTTAGTGTGTTATACTTAATGTGCATGTCCACAAACCCCAAACCCCAATTTCAGGCCCCCTGAGGATGGCTGCCTTTGGAAAGATCTGCTAACTCAAAAATGACTTGAGTAGCCAGCAGTGCAAGTCAGCAAGTGCTTCCAGGTTAATGCAGAGTACAAATGGGGGCTAATGCTCCCCGGAAGGGTTCTGCCAGCTTAGGCAGGGATCTGATGAGGGTGACCAGCACCGTGGCAGGACCCACATCTGAGTTTTCAGCCCTGTTCCTAGAGGCCAGTAGTAAAAAAAAAAAAAAAAAAAGCCTATCTCTGCTGATGGTCAGAAAGCTCTGAAGGGTGTCAACTAACTTCTTTCAAATAAAAGCAGGTG